CACCCCTCCCCGGATACGCTTGGTTAGGCTGCGTAGGAGTCACCTCCTGATCGAAATGATGGATGAAGAAACCAGGGAGTGGGTTCACAGGGAGCTGAGCAACGTCTGGCCCTGGGGGCTCGCAAACCTGGTGGAGGTCGATCCAGAAGGATGGCGATCTGGATTCCGGGCCTGGGGGCGGGTGTCTCGAACGAGGCACTAGTTCGCTACCTGGCAGCGTAGAATGGCCTAGATTGGCGTGCTTGGAGGGTCTTGCAGAGGACGGAGGACGCGAGGGGCCCAAAGTTGGTGGTGGACGTGCACAAGAAATCGGCAATCGCCATCACGGCTAAGGGCTTCTGCCTGGCGACCCAGGTTAAAATGAACCTAGCGGCACCGAGGCCACAGGGGAATGAGGATGCCGCGGGGGCTCACACGAAGACGGCTCGTTGATGGTTCTGTTAGAGAGGCGGCGCTCACAGCTTCTGGGGAGGAGAATTCCGGATGGCCCTCAGAGGAAGGGAGAACCGAGGAGGAATCTCGGATGGAGGTGGACTGGGGATCTCCTCCACCAATCAGGAAGCGGGGCGGAGGGAGGTGCTACCTCTGGCTCAGATTCGACCTGAGGCTAGCATCGTGACCCTCACGTGGTATTAACGTAACATCTTCACGGGGATATACAACGTCCCACTTATGCAGAGAAATTTCGGAGGGTGGTACATCCATTGTACTGATCCAAGAGCCCTGGATTGCAAAATCAAGGGTTAGGGCTTATCTCTGGGAGGGTCGATGCTACATAGTGTCGACTCCTCAGAGGGCTGTTCCAGGGCTTGCATACTAACCATAGGGCTGGAGGCCTTTTTCCTAAGGGACAAGGTGTCCAGGGACCTGCTTCCTATTTCTGGTCACATCCCCCACTCGGGATGGCGAGAGGTAGGTAGTAGTCGTCTCTGCGTACTTTCCAGCTGCCCTCCGCAGGAGATCAGTAACTTGGTCTCCTACTGTAAGGAGGCGAATCTTCCTCTTTTGATTGGCTGCGATAGCAATGCTCACCACGTTCTGTGGGGCAGCGCGGCGACTAATCGAAGGGAGGGAGACCTCGTGGAGTTCATGGCCTCGGCAGGGCTGTAGGTAGCCAACAGAGGGGTAGAATCCACGTTTTTCATGACGGGTCGGAGCACGGTAATAGACTTGACACTCTGTACCAGGGCTCTGCCCCCGGAAAAAATTGGGTGGTGTGTCAGTGGGGAGGACTCTATGTCGGATCATAGATACATCACCTTTGGGTTGGAAATGGGTGTTCGGGAAACGGTTAAATTTAGGAACCCATGGGCAACAAACTGGGAAAGCGATTGGGAGGAGCTCGCTTGGCGCCTAGGGGGTTTACCAAGAAAACACCGGACATTGGAGGAGATTGTGGAGGCCGCCGACCGCGCCAGCTCCGCTATGATACCGGCTTTCGAGAAGAGCTGCCCTGACACAGAGGAGCATAGGGCGGACTCCTTGGTGGAGTGACCCTGCGGGAAGACTGGGTGTGGTCCGCAGGACCGGCGGTGGCGTCACAGCGGGATCAGCTTACATACTACAACAGTTGTTCACCACGCACTTCCCAGGGTCCGCTGATCCGGACACAGGAGGGAATGTTGAAGCCGCCACGGCAAGGAGGGTGGTTACCCATAGTAGACTGAGGTCTTTCAATCGTGGCAAGGTGGAGATGGTCATCTTCACCAGGAAAAGGAAGTTGGAGGTTAATCTCAACATTGCCTCCTTCTGCAAGCGGTAGCGTCAAGTACTTGGGGGTATGGTGGGACTCCAAGTTCCAGGCACGTATGAGATCAAGGATCAGGTCGACCTTTGGAGCTCTGTGGGCGTACCGGAGAGCGGTAGGGGGCACTTGGGGCCTGGGGTCAAAGATCATGCAGTGGATCTACGGTACTATGGTGGTGCCTATGCTTTCGCACGGGACAGTGGCAAGGTGGCCGGGGACCAAAAAAGCAGGAGCAAGGCTAGTTCTTGACAAACTGCAGGGATTGCCTTGCCTCTGTATAACGGGCACCATGAGTACGGCGCCCACGAGGACCCTAGAGGCTCTGGTGGGTTTGCCCTCTCTGGCGGATCGAGTGCGGATGAAGGCGGCCAGAACGGCTGTCAGGCTGGCGAACTGCGGGCTCTGGAGGGAGGGAACCTTCAATCGGGGCCTGTACGCCCAGGGATCGCGGGGTCATGGGCATGCCGAGTGACGTCATGATCCCGGCGATAATCTTCTTTGACAAATGGACCTTTCTCTTCCCATCAAGGGAAGAGTAGAGAGAGGGCAAAGTGGGCGCCTGGGATGGACTTGTCTGGTACACGGACGGGTCCAGAATGGGAGATTTGGCCGAAGCTGGAGCGTACTGCGAGATCGAGCTTGTCGATCCCTCTGGGTGAGTACTGCACTGTGTTTCATGAGCTATATTGATGGCAGCCAGAGAGGTGCTTCGGCTTAACCACGGAAGCAGGATGGTATTCTTCAGCTCGGAGGCAGCGGACGCCTTAGCCAGGGAGGGCTCCTTCCATAGCCATATGGGACCAGAGCCCCGCTTGGGGATCGCCCCGTGTGTGAAACCTGGGCGAGAGACCGGGCCGCGGTGGGCTGGAGGGCTGCTCCGGCAATGATGCAGGCGAGGCTTATGATGTATGGGCCCGCCCTCCCTCGGACCAGGGAGCTGCTTAGACTAACCAGAAGGGAATGTAGAGCACTAGCAGGGGCCCACACAGGAGGCAGGCTTAAGAGGCATCTTTGCGTGCTAGGCATTGGAGACGACCCGAAGTGCAGGTGTTGCATGGAAGGGGAGCTCACCTATTGCCCTGCTTTAACATGGCCAAGATTTGGAGTCTTCGGAACGGCTCTGATCGATCCGGACTCAGTGCACGGTATTGGGTTAAAGGAGTTGCTGACCTTCTATAGGAGGGGCGTCATTCTGGACGCCCTCTAGAGACGTCTGGGGGCACAACGGGCTCATCTGGTGCTTGGACGCTAGCGGGGGGTGCCCTTTAATACCAATACCAATACCAATAATCCATAAGAAATTCTTTGATTGTCATCCTCTTTTAACGATTGTGCATGATATTGTAAAGTATGCAACCATTCACAATGGCCATGGGAAAGGTACCAATACCATTTCGTTCCTCTGACATAAATATGACGTTTCTTTAGGAGCGAATAATGGTGGTCAACACCTCGAACAAGTTTATTGTAATTAATATTAATGCTTGGACGCCCGCGAGGTCGCCCCTCTTTAACACCAATACCAATACCACCCACTATATGATTTCATATATATATATATATATATATATATATATATATATATATATATATATATATATATATATATATATATATATATATATATATATATATATATATATATATTAATATATATATAAATATATATATATATATACCTACCTATATAATAGAAATAGAACTAATTACTTATTACTTATTGCTAATTACAAAAATTTATAAATACATATCCAATAACATTATTCGCCAGAATAGTTTGAATTTGTGCTATCCCTATCATCTAAGGATATAATTATTAATATATGACGTTGATCCAAGTTTTTTCAACTTGAAATTCATGATTAACGCATTCTTCCCAAGAGCTCTCGGGTATTAATTCACAATTAGTTTCAATTACATAAATAAATAATTATATTAATGCGTCTAACTTTGGTTTTTACTTCGGCCAATATAATTTCCGTAGGATTTAAATCACAGTGAGAGGGTGGGGTATATTACCGGACTTTTTTGTGTCTCGTCTACGAAATAAGTTCCATTTGGTTCTTAAAATTTCAACTAGTTGTTATTTTATATAATTAACTTCAAAATAAAGTTCATGCTGCCTAAGGAACTCTCGCAATACCTCGTATTTGGTGCTGATCTTTTGTAGTTTTTTGGCTAAAGTGCTGTGATAACTAGCATTATCATAAACTATTAGGCTGCCGGGTTATTTTTATATATTATATATATAATTTTTAAACCAATTTTTAAAAAGTTTACTGGTCATATCCTGCTGAAAGTAGCAAAAACCTGCAATCGGATCTATAAGTATAAAATGTATATTATCTTTCCTTTAGAAGTGGGTACATAAAAAGTGCAGTTGCATGAAGAATCTTTATAGTGGGTGTCGAAGCAAGTCTCGTCTAAATAATAAATATTTTGTTTTTTTGATGATTTTGATTTAATTTTTTTTGTCTCAATTCCATCAATCGTTGTTTCTCTTTAATGTCAATATTTTTAAAATCTAATACCGATATCGTGCAAAAATAGTCGCAGTTTTTCATGACGGTGATACGAGAAAAAAGGAAGAACTTAAAGCGTTTAGGGAACAGAAAAAAGCTATGATCTATCCTAGAGCCATAGAAATAAGAAAAAGGATATTTTTCGTTAATTTGACCGTTCGCAATATTACGAGCAATGCGAGGAGCAGATTTATCCATAAATATCAAAAAATACAGTTTTTATATGAAAAAACATCAACAGAATTGAACAAGAAATACCACCATAAACTAAATACATTTGTTTACGATATGTTGTTTGCATTATTGCAGTATATTATGCAACAAGTTTGCGAAATACCATTTTAGTTATGTTTGATTTGGCACGAACAGAGCGCTGTGTTAGCGACGTGCTGCAGACTATACTTTTTCTACGACAAGTGGTTTTCGGGTACATTTTTGCAAATCAGCACGAATATATTCACTAATTAATTTGTGACGTGACTTCCGCAAGTGACAAAGGCCGGAATTAAACTACAAAAATATATCGAAATCGTGCGATCGCTCCCAAACCGTGAGTAAACTGCCGAAAATGTCCAATGTGACAATGAGTTACGTATGTGACATCGGATATCGCACTACTGATGCGTGCATAGTTTGATATTTCACAGGAAAGAGTAGAAGAAACTTATTCAAAAGCAGATAGCCCTGTAATATTTCAAACAATAAGGGGAGATTTGGACCGTAAAGAAAGGGAGCCACTTCGGTGTTCGCACTAACCAAAACACAAACGATCTCAAGCTAGTGCTCCAAGTATACTTATAATTACCATTGCGTAAGAAATATTTCATCAGTATAAGTTTAAAGTAGACCTGTAACCTACGATTTCAGGTCTTCCCAGTGACGATGGTACTGTTAATCGGGTGAAGAGCGTTGTAAATAAAATCCCATTGTTATCAAAATAAATTTAATTGAAAATACATAAAAGCACCGGTCACCAACTTAAACTTGAATAAATCCGTAAAAAGCAACAAACAACAAATTATATCTAAGCAGCCCAGGAAACTCTCTGAACGTTCAATGGACCATGATTTTTGTACGTAGCGGATTTGGATATCCTTTAAATATTCCCTGTCGGATATAATATAAAATAATACAAAATTTAGGCGAGATGGATTATGGATTGGACTATGTAATACAAGTTGACGACTATATTGTGACACTATTTACAAATCTCCTGGATTCCTCCTGTATCCGTTCGTTTATAAATCACACTTGCCCACGTGTGGCAAATCATCCTGTTGGTTTCTTCAGAAAACAGTTTTAGTTAAGCTCCGAAGAAGTCAACAGGATAATTGACGAAATATAAGCAAGTTTGATTTATAAATTACCGACGCAGGAGAAATCCAGAAGATTTATAAATAATTAAATTTTTTTTGTAAAATTAACAAAACTGTTTAGTTAAGTCAAGATTTGCAAAATCAAGTCAGACCGATATAGTCATAATCCGTTACTATAATTTGAAACGATCGTTCTATATTTTATTTGTAAATATTTGTGGTATCATGTGACGTTACCGCCTAGAATTAACATGCATGCACAGTAAAAGAAGGATCGTTACTAGCTAAAGCGAAATTTAGTATGCATTATTTGATCCCAACCAAATATTGAATATTTCTTTCATGAATAATTCAATGTTTCTTAAAACAACCTACGTCGATTTCAAATGAAATTTGTATATGTGTTCCAAAAGTAATCCATATTTGGACTCCAAAAGTCATTCAGATTTCCAAATGTTTTACGTTTGGATTCCAAAACGACATTTAAAAGCTGACACTTGTAGAGTTGAATGGATATCCACAAGCTAGCCCAAGAGCCGCGGCAGCATATCTGTCCAGAATAGGCGTTTTTTTGGATTTCCAGTGGCTTAAAATATGGAATTTGGGTAAAGCAGGTTACTAGATAGGTGTGCGATGATTAGTTTAACTTCTAAATTTTGAATACCAACCAAACGCGGCTGTTAAAAACTGAAATCAGTATTGCCCGTATGAAATTCGGTCCATTTGTCGAATCTGTCGACAATCTCTGGAGTCATTTGCGACTTATAACCACCGATGGTTCCAGACCGCATAAAAGCGCCGTGGTGCCTGGTCAAGTTGAATTTTTTGTTCAACTCGGTAACCATTTCGTAATTTACTGCGGGATTGTTTTTCATGTTCTCGAAGCTTAAGTGGTTCGATAACGCGGCGACTTGCTCAGCGGACAAATTTTTGCCCAAAAATGAGGCGACCTTCCTAATGACGCCTGGTAGATCAAGCTTCATGTCTTCGTATTTAACGAAGAGTACATTTGACTGTTCCCTTTTTTCCCAGTAGCGTAGAACGTGGTCCCAGTAGGGCGCAAAATTCACTGAAACAGTGCAAACATTTTTCTTTTGTGGATAAAAAGTGCTAATTCTGTGCTGACAAGTAAAACTAGGAAGGTCATTTATAAATTCCATGAACCCAAAAATATTTTACACCCCAGGACTTGAATCTGTTATTAGTTATGGTTTAGTTGTCTGGTTTGGTGCGAACGAACTGACTTAACCATTAAAAGCATTTCGAAAGTGTACAGGGTGTTCCGAAATTAGTGGGCCAAAAAATTAAAATTAACAAACAATTCGGTTTCAAAGCCTACTTTCCAATTTTTTATGAATAAATAAGATGAGCATATAAAAAACTGCAACTTATTTTGGGCGAATAATATGAACCCACTACTAATTTCGACACCTTATACTGATTGAGGTAGGAATCTTATTAAAATTGGGTCTTAGGTTGTAATTTTGAAGTGGGTCGTATGTATTAGGATTAGCTTTAACATTCAAAATACACATAAAAATAAAAGACCTGAAAGTTGACAACAAAAAAAGGCTTTTGCAATTTAAATACTTCCCCAAAGCGTGAAAAATTATCCTAACACACAATAGGAATGTAGAAACCAATATCGTGTAGCATTTATTATTATTATTATCATTATTATTATTATTATTATTATTATTACTATTATTATTATTTTTTCTTATTAGGGTAGCAGCTTTAGTGGGGTTTATTAACCAGTCACTAAAGTTGGGGGGGGAAGGTTTATGTCTCCGGGATATTCAGGGTCTTTCGGACGATTTTGCAAGTTTCAAGTATTACGGACTTTTGCATTTTTGTAACGATGGTTTTATTCGTTATATTCAGTCTTTCCAGGTATCCTGCAAGCTTCTTGGTAACTAGCCCAGTGGCCGATATAATTACAGGGATAACATGTACTGCTTTTAGGGTGAGTATTTTTTTATATTCCTCTGCCAAGTCGTAATACTTATTAATTTTTTCTCTCTCTTTCTGTTCCAGGTTGTGGTCCGAGGGATGTGAGACGTCGATGAAATACGCCTTTTTATTAGCCTTATCCAGCAGAATAATGTCTGGTCTGTTGCTGGCTATTGGTTTATCTGTTACTATAGGTGTATCCCAGTATAGCCGATAATTTTCGTTCTCAAGAACTGGAGCTGGTATGTATTTAAAATATGGACTGTATTTTCCCTCTCCTAGGTTGCATAGCATTGCTAGTTCTTGGTGTACAATATTTGTTGTTAAATTGTGCCTTTTGGTGTATTTTATTATTATTATTATTATTATTATTATTATTATTATCATTATTGTTGCTCTCGATGAATGTTATTAGAATGTGTTTGATCTTGCGTCATTTTCATTTACAGATGTAACTTGTGCATTTTTTGTTCTTATAATGTATTTAATTAAAATTAAAAATTTAACTATGACGAATTAAAGAAATATAGGATAATAGGCGAAGTATTATCCAAAAAGAGTTTTTAAACTTTCTTATACAAAGAAAACGAAAAAACACATCAATCTAAACAATATATAGCTTAAAAATTCTACTCGTAATGTGTTGATTAATTTATTAATTACCTAAAAGATACAACCTTTTTAGACAAATAAGACGCCTGATGAGTTTTTAATGTTTTAGGTAAGATTGATGGGGTGAAGGAATCTCAAAGATTTACGCTTTAGGTATTTCTGTGTGCATATAACACGTTTTCTAAGAAATTTATGGGAGCTGACACAGCCACACAGTTTTGTGAATTGTATGTTAGTATCCATCCATAGCCCCAGATTTTTTGCTTCAGTTTTAAACTCTATATCAACCTCATCGATTGTGTTCCTGTGATTTCTGACGTAGTCTACCTATTTTTGTGGCCTAAAGAATTAAGGCACTAACTCATTGGTGTTAAGTTTAAGATATATAGAATGGAGAGTTTAGGCCCTCGTTAATCTTTATAGATTTATAGTTGCATCATTTGCTTGAAAAGAGAAAGTAGTTGTAAATCATAAGAGTAATTTAGAAGTAAAGTCAAATTGTATGTTAAGTAGAGTAGAGGTCCCAAAATCGAGCCTTGTGGTACTCCCTGTGTTACAGAAAAGGTGCTAGATTTACATGTTTGCATGTTACCACCGTACAAACTGTTTACAGGTACAAAGTTCTTTTTTTAAATATGATTTATTTGATTGGGCCAGAATCAGTCTCACTAAAACACTTTTTCTAATTCCTTACAACAAAACTGCAGTAACTAGCTTTTAAGCATTTAACCTTTAGGTTCCTGTACTGATAGTAATGTTGGCGCTGGAATTACTAGTACATAGTTCAAAATCATTGATATCAGGAAGTAGAAACAGCATTGCCAGCGAAAAAATGTCTGTAATTTCCAATAAAAATATCATTAATGCATGCAATAAACAAATGAGGACTTAATAAGCTCTCTTGAGAAAATCCATTTAACAATTCCCTACATTTTGAGCTATAACTTTTAGTTCCATCGCTGAACTTGAATTCATTTCTTTCAAAAAGACTTATTACCACGAAAACCATGACTATATAATTTGTTAAGCAGCAGATTAATATTTATAACTTGAAAAGCAGTGCGAATAACCAACAATATACCGGCTGTCTTTCGATGTTGATCTAAATTGACAAGAACATGATTTGCTTTTCACATGAAAGCAATCTGCTTAAGAAAAAATATTTTACAAATGGGAATAATCCTTTCCTGCATACAAGAGCTTCGGTTGGTTAAATTGAAACACAAAGACATATGCTTTTTATCGGTCCTAAAATACTACAGTATTAGGTGTAAGCCTGGTTATAAAGCCGAAAATAAGATTTGAAATTTAGGATAATTTCGAGGTAGAGTTAACTTAGTGAGATATACTATTTACAAAACTTCTGGATTCCTCTTGCGTCAGTTGTTGTTGAATCGAGTTTGCTGACGTTTCGCCAATTATTCTGTTGGCATCTTTCGCGCATAATTCAAAACTCAACTCCAAAAATAGTTTTAGTTAAGCTCTGAAGATGCCAACAGAATGATTGGCGAAACGTCAGCAAGTTCGATTCAAAAACAACCAATGCAGGAGGAATCCAGAAGTTTTGTAAATACTATTACAGTAGCCTGTAGAAGTTTCATTGAAAATTTAGCGAGATGTAGTTACAGAATTTTTTCTGTGATCATTGTATAGTTTTCTCTGGATAGTGTAAGCTAATTAAGATGTGATTCTAATAAATAATAAATAAATAAATCAACGAGACTTACGTTTTCCCGCTAAGAATAATCGTACAAAGTCATCAAAGGTCCCGGTGTATCCCTCCAGAGCCCTCGAGTGATGATAATAAGATACGCAAGTGTCTTTTGGATTTCTGGCAACGTATATTATCTGCAATTATGAAAAAATATAAATTTCAATGAATTAAATATTTGATAGTATCAAACACTAAATTTACCTATATAGAGTGGCGCACTAGTGCCAAAAGTATTACTTTTTTCGAAAAAATGTTCCAATTAGTCTCGCATAGATTCGAAAAATTATCTCAAATATACGGGTTGTTGCAATACAAAATAGATTTTTTAAATTGAACTCATAATATCCAATAATATTATTGGATCGTAATGTAGGCAAATTAGTTAAGAGTTCAGTAAAACATTTAAGCAATTATTGCGTACAGCGGATTTTCTAAAATTTTCTCAACTTAATTAATATAATCTATCTAACTACGTTATCGTGTTCAGTTATTGCGCCTCGACGACTTTTTTTAGATTTATAGTTTCATTATAAAGTAAAATGGTGAATTCACATTTAAAATTTGCATAATACCTAAGTATGACTTAAAAATCACAATTTATAATTTTCAAAATCTTTGACGTCTAAAACAGACAATTTGCGCACACCTGATCAATACATTATTGCATATTGCATTGCAAATTTTAGATGTTATTGGAGAATATTTTATACAAAAATGTAAAAAAATATAGTTTCTAGTTTGCGAAGTTGGTAAGACTTTAAAAAACTGATTAGATGAAAAACTTCTCGCTAAAGCATTTCATTTTAATTAAGGTCCATTTTTAATATTGAGAAGGATTGATGGGAAATAAGCAATTCGTAGGAAACCATGTTCTTGATAATATTTTCTAAGCAATTTTTTGGGCGATTAGTAATACTCAAAAATTTACAGTGTTCCATTAGAAAATACATATTTTTGAATTGCTAGTCGTTTATGAAACACCATACTTCTCGGATTTTTTTTTTATTTGTCTTGTGATTTGGTGCAACATCTGTCAAGACACTCGTTTTTAAAATCAGGAATATATAAAAATTTTCCAAGCTATTGCGCCACCTTGTATGTCATATTAATTTAATTTAACTTACGGCGGGCTAATAACCAACAACGAAACTGTAGTGGCTTCTTTGGGCAAATATATGTTAATGGCCATGTTAACCAGGCTAACGTTTCGGGGCCTAGATCCGAGTCATCTTCAGAGCTTTTATTTATAAATAATGACATAAATCATAGTCACTGTTGGAGAGTGCTATGGTGTAATTTTATATGGAATGTTTTTTGTGGTTATCGTTACTTAAGTTTGGTTTTAAAAGTAATAACATAAAAGATGGCCGCAGTTGCCAGTGATTTGGTACTACCATCTTGCACACTTGTTATGGAATGTGAAGAAGAAGAAGAAGAAGAATGGAGAAACGTCAACAAGTTCGATTCATGAAAAACAGCAGCAGTAGGAATCCAGAAAAGTTGTAATTAAATGTTTTGTTTTAAGCTCTTGTAGTCGCTTTGTAAATTTAAAGCGTCACTCAAACCAGCGAACTATTTCTTAACTTCAAACACAATTCTCTAATGTAATGGAATGTAAATTGTTTTGTTTTTTTTTTTATAATATGCATATTGGTAAGATGTATGAAGTTTTCGATGTTCCAAACAATTTCTCAAATAACACTTTTCTTCTCAATTTCCAAGGCGCATATTCTATTTGTCACATCCAGGACAAACACTTTTTGAAGCATTATTATTATTAGACTACCCCTGCATATTGCAAACTAACTGTTTTGACGTATACGAGCAAAACGAACGTTGCGTAATTTGCAGTAAAATGATACGCGCAATCGTAAAACGATTAAACAGATCATCACTAAACTAAATATACCGGTTGGAAATAATTAGTGGAACTTATGTTTACCTTGGGATTTTTGCGACCACTTTGAATATCAAGAGGTAAAAGGTGGAATGGCAAGTGAGTTTTGATACACGCTGGGTTTTCTTGCTCCTTCACAAATTTCAGCGAATCTTGCAAAAATGGTGGGGGTACGAAATCTTTGTTGTTCCTCATAAGGTTTCTGAAGTCGTAAATTGCAGATACTCTAGAAACAAGGTTTTATTTTATAGTAATATTCTAACAGGTTGCATATACATAAATCGATAAAAATTGAAACCTTCATAAACTAAATATTTAATCTCTGATATCCGTAAAATCATGCTTCATATTATAGATTGTAACGTTTTACCAAATTGAAAATTAGTCTAGAGCAAGTATGTCTTGGAATGTTCTTATTCTCATCATGAAAGTAAGAGCTTTCTTTACTCACTCTGCATATAATTTTTGAATAGAATTATATACAGTCTTAGTGATAGTATTTTCAATCCAATGCCGAAAGAAGTCAGGATGTGTCATTCAGTAAAAGACTATAAAGCTGACTACTAACCAGCTCGTTAGCAAGAGACAATGATGGTAACAAATTGTTACTGAAAAAAGTAGCAGACTGGCTAATGGCATATATTCAGATGAATCACTACTGGATTAAGAAGAAGTTCATAATCAAGGAAATTAATAAATTCCAGATTACAAATACAAATCCTGATGTAATATTAGAAAACTCTAATGACTATTCAAAAACTATATGCTCAAAGATCGACAACACCCTATCTAGAACATTTTTGGTTCGGAAACGTGTTAAGGCGCGTTAACTACATAAAAATAAGGATAATAATCAACTATGAACAAGAAAGTGCTCTACAACCACACCAGTTGGTAAATTGAGAAATCTTCAGAAATATTCGTCTCTGTCAACCTGAAAGTTGCTGATACATTCAATTAAGCAGATCCAAATCAAAACCTCAGAGAAGAAGTAAGGATATATTTACAACTTAACAAAGCCAGCAAGAGAAGTTAACAGACGAAAATGACGACAATAAATTGCTACACACACTGGATAGTTGCAGCAATACAGATGAATCACTACTGAATTAAGAAGAAGCGCTGCATTTTTCTCTTCATGTAGTTTCTTTGTGTTAGTTCACAACAAAAGATTATAGTCAAAAAAATTTAGAAATTCTAGATTGCAAATACAAATTCTAGAGTGATATTGGAATAATGTAATGCTAATTAAACAATTATATGCAGTCTTAAAGATCGACAACACTTTCTCTACAGAATTCTTGGCTCAGAAAGGTATTAAGCCTTTGTTAAGCTGTTGTTAAGTACTTTCTTTGTTTTTGAGATATGGATTGTGAAAAATCTACATAAAAATCATAAACATAATTACCAAATAGGAACAAGAATGTGCTCCACAACCACACTTGAGCAAATCAATGGTATCTTCAGTCAAATGCTGAAAGAAGTCAGGATATGTCGACGACTATGGAGCCTATGAAGCCGATTACTAATCAGATGGACGACACCATTGACAACTTAACGGATCCAGTATGAGAGGCTAACAGTAGGCAATCACTGCCAACAAATTGTTACTCAAAAAGAAGCAGGCTGGATAACGACAGAAATTCAGCTGAATCACTACTGGATTAAGAAGAAGCGCTGCGTTTGTGACTTCATGTAGTTTCTTCCGTGTTGGTTCTCAAGAAAAGATTATAGTTAAGGAATTCGAGGAATTCCAGATTAAAAATACAAATCCTTGTAATGTTAGTTAGTGTAACGAAATTGAGCAATTTCAGATTGTAAATACAAATTGTGATGTCATATTAAAATAATCCTAAAGTTATATTAGAGTTAAGCAAAAAAAAACTCGTCTTGCTAAATTTGAATAATACTTTTGGATAATCATCAGTACTTGCCGAAAAAATGAATACAATTTTTTGTGCTGCAATATTTTGACAACAGCTTTACAAAACGGTAGCAATATTTCTGAAATCGCGATCATTATTTTTATTTATAATGATCACAAAATAAGTTTGCGCAATATAAATTAATTCTAATTTTTTACGAAAACCTGAATAAACGTAAATATTTAAAAAATGTTTTCCCTTACTCAAGAAATGGCGATCTTTGCCCTAGGTTTACTTGTCCGCCTTCGAAATCCAGATCATGCATTATCATCCAAACCATTTCTTGTGTCCAAGTGGTTCCTAAAATTTAAAAAAAAAAAACAAGAAAGTCAAAAATGTTTTATAATAGTGCTATTAATTATTATAGGAAAAAAAATCGATTTTATTAGAAAACGTAATTATTTTTATTGGCCACGTATTTTAGTCAAAGTTGCAGCTAAATTTTTTCTAGTCATTTACATAATTTTACAATTACATTTTACATAATTAGTAAACACATTGTTTTTTGTTTGAAAAACATTTATCGAAGAAACAGCAAACTGAATTTGATACCGGGAATTTATGGATCAGGACAATCAGCAACAGAGATAGTTTAGAATTCAAAGCCGGCACTCTCAAGAGTAAATTTGTTTAGAAACATTGATCACGTACGTGATTTACTTACAGGATGAAATGATCATTAATTAGATTGAACGCTCAATAAGAATACAACAATTACACAGTACAACAATTCAACAATTTTCAAAATTTTTCAAATTAACGATTGTCCTATTGCCTATAGTTTCAATGTGGGCTGAATATTGTATATCTGTGACTTCTGTGGTAATTTCAAAATAACCGTATTTTACTCTGCGAAATCCAAAAACGTCGTCAAAATAATATTTGAATTAACAAAAAGGCTTACTAAAGCACATGTTCTTTAAATATTTATTTCGTTATTCTATTTAACGTAGGCCTTGAGTAAAACAATTAATATATAATATACGATGAAACCGTCAAATACATGTAATGTAATTAATTGTCATGAAATACTCGTTAAACGAGAGACTCCAGATTGTTGCGTTGTTTTGATAGTCCGAAAATGTCAGCGGAACAAGAAAACTAAAAAATAAAGGAAAAATTATTACCATTACCGCAGCTTCTAATAACAGAAAATTTTCTAAAATTGTGAATGTATTTGAATAATTGAACTGAAAGCAACTTAAAAGAACCAACCTACAACAATGGCTAATCAAAATATATCTGTCTACTATCTACTTTCCCATTCCCGCACTAATTATGTGTACCAAAGTGTCACTTTAAGAGGTCACACTATGGCGAGTCACTTGGTTCCGTAGTCACGAGTTTGGGAAGGATCGGATATTTTCACAGTACAGTATGCAACATGTTGATAAACTTCTTCGTTCACTCGTTTATTAAACACTCGCGCTGCTAGTGTAAAAACAAACTCGTGACTAAAGTTTCGTTGGTCAAACTTGTTGCAGAATATACTATTCTTAACTTTCAAAATCAGGAAATAATAAAGTAGATAAATATATATTCTTTTATTCCACAATTTTCATTTATACATTTGCATTATCCACATAATTATAAGCAAATGTAATGTTTGGGATCGTAGACTACATATTGCGCAAGCAAATTTCGAAATTATGTAATATCCGGATGCTAACGGCTTTTGCTCTCCGAGAACGAGGTGCATTCTAATAATAGTTACATACACATTTCCTGTATACTGCTTAAGATGGAGATAGACCTACCTCAGAACAAAAAATTTTGTATTATTCTTATAGAAAGTTATTACGTAATAACGTTTACTGTTTACGGCCGTAAGTTCTCACGGATTAAACAATGCACGTGTTGGTGATTATAATAAAAAAACATTTTTTTCATGTACAACACCCTCTTTTTCATTTATATATACTTATACTAATATTGTTGTACCTTTGTACCAAAGCATTATAAAAATTTCCCTTTTTATAAAGAACCCCTAATAAAACCAAACTTAACCATTTTTATATTCGAACCATGTTTTTATCTATGAAATAAATCTAAAATAATAAATGCCATTCTCATCAAAGCGAATATAGAATAGGTAATTTAAGTTATCACCCGTGATAGTATTCAAGCTAAAATGTTTTTTGTGTTTTTTTTTTAGTCAATTTAGACAAGTTGCATTTTTTTAGTGGCAACAAACCAGTTCTAGCCACGCAATATTAAGATTTGCCCAAATTTGACGCCAAAACAAGAAGACCTAAGATTTTTTTTAGACAGAATTTATGGAACCCCGAAAATTATTTTTTTATTGAAAACATATCTATATAAAACTACTAGTTCGGTTTTATTTTACCTTGGGAATTGGCAGAAGAATAATTTTTTTATAACAATATTACAATTTCAATTTTCAGTATAATAATAATAATATAATAATAATAATAAATATCACACTAAACAGAAAAGTCATGGTCCTGCATATATTCATGAATATACTAATAGGTTTTTGCATGGACCTTTTTTCCTGTTTTTTAGGGGTTTAGCACTCATATACTAAGCGTTTCTTTCTCGTGAGTGTAACGGCAATAGTGTTGCTTTTCTACCTCGTAATCAAACTACTAAAAAAACGTCAGAATTTTTAAACCAACGAAATGTTCACATAATCCAGCTCTGTCCAGCCTTAATATTATTCTAATAGCTTTCTTCTGTAGGATAAAATGATTGTTAGTGTAAACTGGTCATTTTATGCATTAAATATCCCAATAAACAGGCGATTCGCTTAAACTGAATCAGGAAGGAGAAGAAAAAATATCATCAGGAACTGAATTTTTCAATAACTAAGTTGATGTTAAAATACAGAACGGCAGGGTTATCATTGTTCTGCGGCATATTTTAAAGTTAGCTATCTAGAAATAAAAGTCCTATACAAGGTGCAATTTGAAAAATATTGTGCTTTAAAAAAGAATCTTTGACATCATGTAAATTGGACACTAAATATTGGAAGTATATTTTGACAAATGTTTTTTAATTTGATTTTTTCTTGGTTTAACGAATTTGAAATACAACAAAATTACAGGACGAGCCGGAAAGACTTTTCAACCCATTAATGGCAGATCCTTTATGTGAAATTATTATGTCGTTTTTTTATTTAAAATTTTCATTTAATTTTCATTTTAATACATATTTTGTTGAAACTTGGTATGTGTAATTGTCTTGTTTGTTTTGGTTTGGTTTGTAAATAAAAATCTGATATCGTCAGGAAAAAAGGTTTCCCTCTAGCCAATTACTTGATTCCTTGTGAATTTTTAATGACAATTGTGCTTTCTGAGATATCGTAGACTAACTAATAAATTAAAATTTAAAACACAGAATATCAAATTTAAATTAAAATTAAATGTTCTACATGTCTGCTTTCTTCGTTAGTATGTATGAGCGCAATATTAATATTTGATTCCACAACGGAACACAATTTAAATTTTGTCATTTTTGTCTACAAATGTTATCAAAAATACACAAGAGGGAAAAAATTATGTAGCGTAAGAGTTTGTTAAACCCCTGTTTTGTACCAATACACCGTTTTAATTATAAGATTTAAATTTATATCACAATGATAGATACCAAGTATCAAAAATACATCGAAAACGAGAATATTTATAAATTAAGTTTCTTCTAATTTGTTTTAATTATTTATTTCTTATTTTTTTATTTTTATTTTTTTTAATTATGTTCGACCCCCTGTATTTTAAAAACCGGTGGCAAAAATCAAAACGGCATAATTAAAAGCAAGGCAATGTTTTTACTTTTATTTTATTACATCTTCAAACATTAATAAACATAGTTTTAATTTTGTGAAAAATGGTTTAAAAATGTTCAATTCGAACTCTTCAGAAGAAGAACGTATATTTTTTACTCACCCGTCTTTGGAAAACTGCAAATCCAAACGTCATCTTCGTTTACCTCGAAGTTTAAGATTTGTTCGTGCAAATCTTCAAACCGTTTAGGCATTGTCGTCCCATCGATTGTTACGTATCCGAACCGAAAATTATTTGTGAAATGTTTTCGCAGAATGTCATCTAGTTCTTCATTGTTAAAATTCTCTTGGTTTGACGCAACCATTCTGGTAATCGTATATAAAGCGCTTTTGATCGGACTGAAGTAATGTTTTCTTGGGTGATTATTTTATATCAGCCATTCGATGCCGTCTTTATTTGTTTGGCTTTAGAAAGGATATTATGAAATCTTACTCGCAGAGATGATATAGACAAATATAAGCGGTGGAGTTTGGGTATCGTTGTAGAGAGAAGTATTAAGATTGGAGACTATAGTGTACAGTTTTTTGTAATAATTCTGAATAATTTTCATTAGAAAGGTTATTTGTAATGGTACCTCTCATTGTTCATGGCCATTGTTTGCCGAAGGAGTTAAACAGAAACACAATACTCTTGTTAAAGTTACTGGATAAAAATGCTTTAGTAAAAAACTTAGAAACCAAGGAATGGAACGATATTTACTCCGCTACTAATACTAATAACGCCACAGAAAGGTTTGTAAACAAATTAAAACACTATATTGAAAAATGTAAGAAACTCGTGGATAAATTCGTGAATCACAAAAATAAACTTTACCACAAAATGAAGTTACTGCAGATACCAGGAGATGTTAATACTTATAAGAACTATCGAAATTTATTAAACACTACTACAGCGAAATAAATAAAAATGAATGCTCTTCACAATCGAAATGGAAGACAGAGACGTAATTCAATTAAAACAATTAAAACTTATGATGGTCATACGACTGATTTTAAAACAATTGCAAATAACATTTGTCAGAAATAGGGGAAAAATTAGCACAAAATATAAAATTACAACGAGATTGGTTACAGTACTAGAAAATTCATTTTATCTTTCAAAGATTACGGAAGGGGATGTACTAAGAACAATTAAAAACTTAAAAAAAAAGATTATGTCTCCTCTTAAATTCTTAATTATCAAATCGTTTTCAGAAGGAGTATTTCTGACAATTCTTAAGGAAGCTATGCATCTCTTTATAAAAATGGATGTAAAGACTGTGTGTCGAGTTACAGACCCATTTCACTGGTTTCTAGTTTACGAAAATATATTTGAAACAATATTTAAACAGAAGCTGGTAGATTACTTGGAAAAGTATGACATTTTGTTGAAAATTAGTATGGTTTCAGAGAAAAACGTTCGACAAACGATGCAGTAGCTGAATTAATCGATAACATTAACAAATGTATAGACAAAAAAAGCTTGTATATCTCTCTTGACCTGGCTAAAGCATTCGACACAGTCGACCACGAACAACTTTTAGCTTATCTGCACGATAGTTTCTTAGAGGCGTTCCATACCAGTTATTACAAAGTTACTCAAATAATCGAAAACAATGTGTTCAAATTCAAAATGTTACGAGTGAATTCCAATTGATAAAATATAGATAGACATCAAAGGACTGGTTGTGAGATTTGCTGATGACACCGCAGTTATTTGTAGTGCAGTAAACTGGACAGAACTTAAGTTAATCACTGAACAGGACTTTAAAACTGTATTGAGTTCCTTTGATAGTATGTTGTTGACTGTAAATTGTGAAAAAACATTTTTCTTAGCCTTTACAGAAACATCCTTACTTATAGTACATTAAGATTTACTATCAATCCCAAAATTGTCCAAATAAAATCCAAAGAACATATAAAGTATCTTGGTATATATCTGCATAGTCACCTAAAGTGGGATGTTCGGATTGCATATGTTGTAAAAAAGATTAGCGCCCTTTTAGCCTCATTGAAGTTTTTGGCTTCGATCTTATATTAGATATAGTATGACAGCCTGGGGAGGTGCATCTTTTTATCTAATGGATCAATTAGAAAAATTCAAAAATAATCATTAAAAGTATTTTACATGAAAACAGTGATGAATTTTATGATTTTGCCAAAATTCTCGACCCGCATCAAATATTCTGCCACAATCTGTTAATACATCAACACAAAAATAAACACACTCTTGTAAAAATCGACTATAAATACAATACATGGAACAAACTCAACAAACACACTGCCAGATTTCGAGAAGACTATGGCATCGAGATACGATACATACTTTTCTTCAAAATTGTATAATTGATTAATAAAGATATTAAAAAATCAAATTCTTTAGATTTATTTAAAGAGAAACTTTGGAAAACTGAGAAACCACGAACGTTATGCACGATTTCATAGATTCTCGAAATATGTATTTATTAGTCAGTATATAAAAAAAAATGAATATAATGAAAATAATTAACTTATTCTTTATATATATATATATATATATATATATATATATATATATATATATATATATATATATATATATATATATATATATATATATATATATATATATATATATATATATATATATATATATATATATATATATATATATATATTTAAATGATTCATTTAACTGATGATTTTATCTTGTTGGCTCAATTAACATGTTTTACATGTATTGGAACTTAAGACAAACTTTGTTAGTTTAGTCATAATTGTAATCCTATAGTTGATTGTTGATGGTGATATAGACAATTAATTGTGTTACAATTAATTAGTGCTCGCATGAGATTTCCATTCTGGGTTTATTTGTATTATATTTGCCGTATTATAAAAAAGTAGAATAACTGTATTTTATTTAATGTTTATTTGGTAAACACATAATAATAATAATAATAATTGTAATTATTATTATTGTGCATTCAAGCTACTCAAAATTTCGAGGATTAATTCAGAAGGCAATGTTTTCTTTTAACAAAAAGCAAAAAATTATAATATTCTCCTTTAGCTGGTATTATTAAGGCGGGAAAATATAACATCAATGTTGCTATCTATAGATATAAATTAACCGCAAATTCCGTATTATGAATTTTGTGTTAATATTACCTATTTATTAATGTTTACTTATTCTTTGACCATATTTACCATTATTAACTGTATTAAGCGGTATTATCGAAAAATGTACTGGAACTTGTGGCTCCTCCAAATTGAATATACCGACATCTGTTTTTTAAATAAGAGACAATCAATTATAATTAAAATTGAATTTTTTTATGTGAATCAATTTATTTTGTTGTTTTCTAATATGAATCTGTTTTAAATAAAACTATTTTTCTGCTCCCTGCTCTAAAATACAATCAAGCATACTGAAAGTGCGATACTTAAGTAATGAATTTCAAATCTCATCTATTTAAATTTATTATAATCAAAATAGAATATCTACCCCCAGAAAATGTTAAATATCTACATTGTGCGTGAGTTAAAAAAACTGTAATTTATGCCAGCCTCTAATAACCATGTTGTTGTATTTGGAGGTCACTTTTAGTGCGGAATAAATTTAGTATTACATAAAACGCTTCAATTCGTAACAAAAACTGAAAACGTTTGTCTTGTCGCGTTTCATTTCGGTTTTTGTCAAGAAACTAAGGAAGCGTATCCACATTCTTTTGAATTTTACCGCGATCCTGAAATATCCTTGAAAGTATTACGGCGGTCATTTTTTCGTTTATTTATTATGACATTATGTATGCGTGGAATATTCTTTTTCAAATGGCCGGTGGTAGATATCAAACTTCTGAAAGTGTCTAATTTAATTTAACTAAAATACTGACATTGCTTTTTTAAACTTTTATATACCATACAAAAAACATCTATTTTATTAAGTATTTGATTAAATAATTAAATAGTGTCCGTTAAGTTTCTTATACAGGGTGTCTCATCAGGAGCTTCGTCGATCTGTTATGAAAAAACTATATGTAGCAAAAATGTAAAAATTTGGAATTAAGTTAATGTTAGTTGGGTCAATCCGACCAAAATGTTTTCAAAATGGCCACACATCCAAGATATACCGAAAGTGGATCTCAATGTTCTTATTTTAAATGGAATGCCCTATGCAGGGTGACCCAGGATTTAACAGTCAAGACTTTTTTTTCCCATATGTACTAACTTGTTTTGTGCTCGAAATACAGGGTTTCAAAGTTTTTTTTTCGTTTTTTTATTAATTATTCAAAATCTTTTTTCTGATTTTGATATAATTTGACATTTTCATTTACTTTAATAATGGGGTTCTTTTAATATAATTAGAGAAAAAATATATTTCTAAAGACGTCGCAGACGGTAATCTAATTGATCAAATCTAATCGTTGAACACCACTAAAAAATAATTTTTGTTTGATCTCTTTAAAAAAAATTTGCAGCCTGTTTTGTTTTTGAAAAGAAATAAAAACGATTTCGATGAAAAAACATGGAAGGTCGTGGTCACGACAGCCCCATTCCTGGGCCTGCTCGTTGTCCTGATTAACCACCTTGGATCTTGTCGAATGGAGTACAATGAAAATCAAAGTTTATGAACGATAAAGGTACTCTACGAGAAATGAGTGTTTAACCAGCCCCAAGAAATTGAACTAGCGGTGTATCATCGTAGGTAACAACTTTTTTTTGAAAAAGGTGGCGATCATTTAGAATAATTTTTAGGAATTTTTCTTACCCATAATAATAACCATGGCGGGTTGTGGCTTAATCGTCAACTACTATGTACTAGTAAAAATACACGCCCCATAAAAATCATCGCATCACTTGTAATGTTAAAAAATGTTGTTTCTGCATTGCTATATTTTTTTATGAAATAATTTATGTATGGTGGGAACGGTTTGAAATGAAAATAAATCCACATGTCAGATTGAAAGAAAACTTTCATTCTTGAAAAATGCAATTAAAACAAAAAACAAGATCATACGAATTAAGCCAAAGTAAACTGGTTAGTATCGTGTATTTCTTCCCATAAAAAGCATATTGAAGAAACCTCCGTTCGCTCCCGACAGAATCTTTTGTAATCGTCCCCAAAAATTATGGAATCGGAGCGGATTTAGTGTTTTTAGTGTCTAGTGTTTTAAAGGTGTATTCGTCGTCGGCCCTTCGGTTTTTTCCTATTCAAGCCTGTGTAGAGGCCGGATGGTCCGCGGGGAAGCGGGAGAGGCCGTTTTTTTTGTTATCGGTCAAAGTCTATATTGAAAGCTGAGAATAAATGTCGGTAATAGCATTTTTGTTAACTGTTAGTGTGTCATCAAAAGAAAAAATTCCTCGACGGATGTCGGTAATGGGCGAATGGCCATAGTAGTCTTGCCCAACTGCTTGTAAAGAGCAAGGTGAAGAAGAAGCTCAACTAGGCTCAAAGAACATGCCTTAAGGCACTCATCAGCAGTTGCCGAATACAATCACGAAACCGTGCATAAAAATTTTATTCGATAAAACTAAAATTCTTGCATGTAATCAATTCTTCTACCAAAGAAAAATCCGGGAGTCTATAGAAATCTATAAGCAACCTAACAATCTTAACCCCGACTCAGGTCTCTACCTGTTACCAATATTGGAATCAGTCATCCGAGAAGGTGTTTATGCCCTTCATTTAGCTCCGCCCCCCTGAAACAATATAAAAGCAGATACATAGTAAAATGCGAGCCAGTTTTAGTCGATCTGACGAAGCCAACAGGATGATTAGCAGAACGTTACTACTTCGACTCAACAAAAAGCGACGCAGGAGGAATCCATAAGTTTTATAAAAAGTAGCATATTGAGAGGTTGGTCTATGTTTCTAATTGGTTTTCTATGTTGTTGAATTTACCATAACATATGCTCTATCAGATTTATGTAAGGCCTTCTTGCTGGGCAGTTCATAGCAGTAATGTTAACCCAAAAGGGACTATGTAGAGTTCAACCATCTCTCTTATGGACCAACCAACGGTTAAACTGACCCTTTTTGCAGCCACCAATTCTGTCCATTATACGACATGCATGTCATATGTCCCCAAACCATAGTTGAGTCTCTACCAAGGCTCTACTTCGGAATAAAATGGAGTGACATTCTCCATATCGTCCATATACAGGCATATATCTATCTGAGGCACATAAAGAGATTCTGGCCTCATCTGTAAAGAGAACATTGGACCATGTTTCGAGCCCTCAATTTACATGGTCCCTGGCGAATTGCAACCTAGTAGCACGGCGTTTCTTATACTTCAGCTTGCAACATCCTAGCTGTACAATGCCACTGTAAGCTGTAATGCGGTGGCGACTTTGCTCTTCCCTTGTAGTGTATTGTCCTGTTTCTCTGCTACTGTAGAGATGGTACCTTGCTGGTCATTCAGGAATTGTGTCATGTACTCAACAAAAAAACTGCTCCAATGGCCTCTTCAGTACACACTTGTTGCTCTGATATGTCAAATTGAAATATGGACAGTATTTAGGTTATTTACAATTTTTGAAATAACAAAATTGTCAATAAACCCATCGCTTCTTTTTATTCCTTCTAGACCTTTTATTGCATTGTTGGTGAAATATTTTTTGCACAGCTAATAAAAAATAAAAACCTGGAATAGGTAAGAAATTTTATGTGATGTAGCGTGTATATTTTAGTCTTCTCCGGCACTATGTGTTTTGAATTGCGAGATTATAGATATAACAAAAAGGTATAAAAAAAAACATTTTTATTCATTAAACCACATATTTTAACAGCAGTATGCAGAAACAGAAACAAAAAAGCCGCTAACAGCGTCTTGATTAAAGAAAAAAATTACTCTGCCGAAGCATAACAAAATCCCGAAGCGCGTAATTTGTTTCGTCAAATCGTGTGAAATTAAATGACACTTCAACAAAAAGACAATTACCGAAATAAATAAACACAAATAACAACAACTCCGAATTATGGAGTAACAAAGCCACATGTCACAATTTTACTCTTTGCTTTCTGATAATGTACCGGGGTCTTGTATACTATCCAACGAATGTAAGTCTCCAGTGTTGCATGGAATGCTTGGTATCTGCCATCCTTGCGTGGAAAAGCCGGAATACTCCGGCTTGCTGGGATTAAGCGGAAGAGGCAAGTTAATTATAGGTGTCTCGTCAATCCTATCTATTAATGTCTCCTCCGACTTAACATCAGGAATGTCCTGCAAAAATGGCAAAACAAAATCTTCCTTCGTTGTGGTTTTTACATCAACTGCTATTTGGATAGGCGCGGAGGAAGGCATCAGGGGAGACTCTGTGATATTACAAGAAGTTGCCAAAGGGCTAAACGGGTCCGGAGTAAAGCTGGGTGTCGGCGATGATCTTTTTTCGGGTGTAAGTAAATCAGCTATGCTGTTATCAGCGCTTAGGTCTGATAGATCAATATCGTAATTGATTTTGGAGAGACCCAGTGAGCTGTTGTCGTCGGGCGTCATACCATCAACGGAATGTTTGCTGTTAGCGGAATTTACGAGGCCAGAAACTTTTGACTGGTTGAGTCCGTCGGGGAATGACATAAAGGGCATTATATCGAGATTCAAATTAGACTTTTTTTGGTCGTTCCGACTTGCAAGCGCAATGTTTGACATTAACGTGCCAGTAGGTTTATTTGTCTTTTGAACCCCGGCAGTGATGGCTTCGGGTAATTTTCTTGGTTTAATAACAAACGGGGTTCTTTCTAGCAGTGAAGAAACTCCTTGGTTAATTTCATCCTAAAAGAAAAAACATTGTTCAATCGTTAAAAATTGCATCCATTGCAATACAGGTAACTAAAAATATTATAGAGGAGATCTCGAGTGTAACAAACATTTGCCGAGGAGTCAAAATGTTACCAGCTTCGAGTTTGACCAAAACCATATATATAGCCTAGGAAGGATATTTATATTAGTGAATTTGAAGTGCTCAGACTTTTGGCAATAGGGTAACACTCGAGATATTCCTTTAGTAATATAATTTTCGTGTACCGGTAGAGAAGGAACTAACTCTTTATTTTAATTTAATTGGTTCAGAACAGAAACAAATTACAGCAGGATTCTGGTGTATTCCGTTTCAAATAACCCAAAAAAGCATCATTTAAATTAACCAATGATAAAAAAAATCTATTCCATAACATATTTTCAAAGTTCCAAGCACATTGTCGCACTTAGCACATAGTTAAAAAATTTTCGAGAGAAGGGTGCTAATAAAACAAGCAAACCAAATAATTCTTATAAATTTCAAATTTGCTTTGTCTTCTTTGAATGCAACGGTAAACATATGTGGTCAAATCTGTTTAATTCTGGAATTTGTTCAATAACTTAGTAGGGCGTGTGTAGAAAAACATATTTTTTTATAATAAATTTAATTTAACAAAACAGAAATTGCCAATCGTATAAAACATCTCCTCCAAAAAGTAAGACAAAAATTAATTAGTTAAGATAATTAACTACCTATAAAATAAGCGTAGCTATACAGATATCTTAAATTTTTATTGCAATCTTCTTGACACGTTTGAACTATTGAGTTGAGTTGAGTGTGTCTTGTAAGATATGAAACTGTGCAGTTTTGTACTTTATTTGTACAAAAAGATCATAAAACAGTACATCTTTTTTGATCTTAAGTGTCCCTCCATATACTTCTAAAAATTTTGGAGGAATAGTCAGACATAAATGACTATATATAATTAAGGTTACTAGGTTATTTTAACTATTTTTGTACAAAAACTAAATATTGTAAAATAAAGTTTTTTCTTTTTGTCGACCTATCTTCCAATTATTTAAAAACTATCCTTGTCTATGGAGCTTTAGATATTCATTTTCATTTAACTTTTTGCCGCTTAAACATGATTGAAAAATTGATAAATTAAGAATGTGCTGTATAAACTTAATTAGTTAAATGTTTTTTTATCAGTTAATTTACATTTTTTTGATAAAACTTGAGGGTTTTTATAGTTTTTGTTTCTGATTCTTTAGTGCAAATTGAAGAGTTTTAATTCTAAAACAATGAAATGCCTAGGAAACTGCAGGATAAAATAAAATATACGTTCAAAATTTATTTAAATCTGCAAGATGATTACTTATTATTTGCAATCTGTTTTATGCCAAAAGAAAAAAACAAATTTATTTGGAACTTTTTAGATATGCTTCTCGTTTATCTATTGCAAAGTTCTTTAGATAACTTTACAACTCCGAATATTATAAAATCAACTACTATGTTAAATATTCAAAGGAACACCAGTTTATTTACAAAAATAGCTATCCGTTTAAGGAATAAAAAAATGCAGCTAATCATAAAAAAATGGAATAGAAAAATGTCAAGAACTACACCCAAATATATATTTTTTATTTGACCGGATTTATTATATGCTGACAAGAAATAATTTTTTTAATAATTTTTTTTGTTATTTCATATTATTTATTTATTTATTATCATGTTTACTATTTAACTGTCTGCAATGCATTGGTAAAACATTATACAGCAAACTTTCAAACAAAAATCTTCAACTTTACTTCGAAACACATTAACAAAACCAACAATAAAACTACACAACGCCGCATATATTTTATTCAATGCCACGTCGTTATACCTTCAAACTTTTCATTTCGTCCATCAGTTTCCTTTTCTCCTCCTGCACAAGGTTGTTTCGTTCCTTCAAATTATTTAATAATGCCAAATGCTCACAAAGTTGATGCATACCTTCACAGGCGACCAACGCCGACTCCCAGGCGCTAATCGTTGTTACTTTGCCCGACATATATGCGTCGAATTCTTGTTCCGGCATATTCAGAGAATCGGCTGTTAAGTTTTCGATAAAGGAAACAGCGCAGCACTAAAATAAAGAACGATTATTTGCGTCAAAGGGCGAGTCTTTAATCAAGTCGATTATAAGGTTTCATCGTGGAGATTTAAGATTACTTTTCTATTTAATATGTAAATAGTTCAGTTCTATTTGCGGGCATTAGATTGCCTTTATCTGCAAAAATTTGCGAAGTATTGATGTTTAGCGATTTTATGCATTTTGAAATAAATCGCTGTAGAACAAATTAAATTAAACTTTTCTTTTTAACAAAACAGGCCTTTATCATGTGGTCTATAAATCAAAAATATTTTGGGTAAAAGATTAAGAAAGGGTAAATTTTGGTTAGTTTTGTAACAGTTTAACTTAAATTAATTTTTTCTAGATATCGCTGTAGAACAAATTAAATTAAACTTTTCTTTTTAACAAAACAGGCCTTTATCATGTGGTCTATAAATCAAAAATATTTTGGGTAAAAGATTAAGAAAGGGTAAATTTTGGTTAGTTTTGTAACAGTTTAACTTAAATTAATTTTTTCTAGATATTGTTAAAAATTTGGCAATGTACTTGTACTCTGTTAGCCAGAAGTAGATTAGCAATATTAAGTCCAGTGTGTGTATGGTTTTTCAAAAGGTTGACATTTTTTCAAATTAAGTAACTAGAAATAAAAATTTTTATCTATTTGCTTTTCTTCATTTCAAACCAAGACCAAAAAATCGTCCTAAAATGTCTAATTTTCAAAAATTCAGGATAGTAAAGGTTTATTTGTTACTAACTATCGAATTTGAGGAAGAATAAGTAATAATAACTAAACATTATACTAAAGACAATCTGCCATGAGAAAATCCGTTAAATCTGAAAAAATATCGACATTAAAAAGGTCAGTAGCGTCTCTTTTTAATTGCAATAATATTGGTGAGGACCAAATATATATGAGTGGCTTATCTTCAATTACTTCCAAAACTTGAGCCAAATTGTCACAATCTGGACAAATTTTGAAGTAGTTGCGACCTGCTTTGCTACACTTACATGCTTTGCTAACAACACTTTTATTAATTACAAGAAATTTTAGAGTGGTGGCTTAGAGTATAGTGCGAGCAATAAATTTATTTTTGTGTTCATCCAATTTCATTGATGACTGCAGGAAGAAGCGGCCGATGTTAAATTGTTTCCTACGTGCTAATTTTTTGAGGCACTGGTGCCTACATAGATGTTCAGTTCAAATCGCTTTATCGCCAGAATACTTTTTTTTGTAGAAAATTTAAGGTTGCCTGCTCGAATGACATCGCGTAGCAACAAGAATTGTTTCTTTTGTGCAATAATTTTATCTGGTATTCAAGAAATCTTTTCTTTCATAGGAATAAGCAGAGATATTTGCTTGCCTTGGTATGCCTCTAGGAATGACCCAAAGGTCCAATCTCTTTAACAACTAGACAAAATTTATATTTCATGTATCCTATATAGTCATTTTTACAGTAAGAGTAACGAGTTACCTAGAAGAAAATTTAGAAAAAGATAAAGAACTGTATTGCTAAATTTGCAAATTATCAGAAAAAAAGTTTTTTTATCTAGTCTATACAATGAACACTTCATATTTAAGTGGATGAATGGACAGAACATCACCCTCCTTGTGCTGCAAGAGTATTATGCATACGTCCATTAAAGACGTCAACTATTTTTATAATCTTGAACAATCTCTTTTTCACAACATACAATATGGAGATTGTGGACAAATCTTTCAAATTTGTACTCGAAAAAAGAAACAATAAATATTCTAAACTCATGAAATTTATATTGCTAATTAGCCTCTAATAATTAGGGCACCAAATGCAAGTAGATTTTTTTTCAAACGAGATCAGCTCGTGAATCACCATTGAGAGTGCTGTGAATTAAACAGTCATGTTTCAAGACATAATTTTTTGAAGTTCGATTATAGTGCTTTTGTAAAAATGCATTTGTTTCATATATATGTTTCAGGGCGGTCACTAATGAAGCAATGCTAAATTAAACTGAAATTACAATTACATTCCACTTTTTCACATAATACATAATTCTGTTTTTTTTTTTGGCAAATTATGATAGAGATGATTTCTAAGCAAAAAGGATACACTACATATAATTTGAGATATTTTTTGGTGGATATCCCTTAAGGCATTTTACTAGTCCCTGTAGTATGCAATTTTATTTACATTCAGCAATAGTTATATCTATTATAGTTTCCCAAATAGGTAAATCCATTTTGGGCCACAATGTATAACCATGATAGGATAATTTGACTATTAGTTCAAACTTTAAAATGTTTAGTTTTAGTTAGAAAATATTAAATTATTTTAATCTCTTATATACCATATAAATAACTTTATTTTATTTTTTTTTAATCACAGGTATAATTTCTATTTTAAATGGAACGCCCATTTCAATAAGTTTCTGCACGAAAATATATCAATATCTTCATATTATCAGCAAATTTGAAAATATTGCACTGGCTGTTAAAGAAAAGTGACGAATGTAAAAATTTGAAACGACATAGAATCACAAAATATTGAAAAAAACGCAAGTTTGGTCAAATAACATGAAAAGCAATACAATAAAATGCAAAATTGTAATTGGTAGGATTGAAACTTTACCCGAAAGATTACCTTTGACATCTTAATTATTCTAAAGAGAATAACTTACTAAATTTGTAAAATAGTATCCAGCTTCTCCTTGCATTAATCTTGAATCCTTACAAAATCTTGTAACATACAAAATATTACTTTTAAGTCTCGCAGGATTCGCTTTAAGTACCACAAATATTAGAGCAGGCAAAAACTCATCAGCGCTCACGGGACCTCCTAAAAAAAGTAAACATGTTTTACATTTGTAATTGGGTAACTTTTTCAATAAACATAAAATACTATCGTCAAACATGAAATTCGTTTTGGTTTTCCATATTGGCGGTTCACGCACCAACATTTTTATAACATTATTTACTATCAATGTGAATTTTCAAAAAAACAAAAGTGTTATGTTGAAAACTGGCGAAAGTATGAGTCTCTAACTTCACGATAATCATCAAAGTACTGTGAAGTGGTTTTCTTTATTCGCAAAACAGTGAAGCAAATATTTAATTATCCTATTTTCCTAAGCAATCGGTATTATCAGTCTACTTGCTCATGATGTTATTTAGAAATGCTAAAAATTTACAATAACTTTTTAACGGTTTATCGCAATTTGCATTTGCAAACAAAAACACTAAAAGAAGATCCAAAGAAATAATTACTTTATTTTACATTCCCTGCTTTTCAATTTGCTAATATTAAACAATTGTCAAGAGAATATTTCTTGCAATTTTTAAAATATGGTTCACAAGATCTAGCAGACATGCAATAAAACATCCTTAATACCTTGACAATGCTGGAGGACTTCGACAACACTTCTACAACATTTAACGACACATTCTAACTTTTCCTGAGGAGCTTTCATAGAATCCATACCCAATAAATCGTTTATTGCCGTATATACTAAATCTCTTACTTCCAGGCTGGTTTCGCTTATACAGCAATCCAAATGATGAGCATTAACCCAGGTAAGTTTTCGTATCCTATCTTGTATGGACAGATCTTTTTCCTCGTCATTAGTTGTTTGCGGGCAAAATAACCAACTGTCAAAAAGTAAAAAACCAGTCCAAAACGAAAAATAGAACAAAGGAAACCAACCTGTATAAAACAACCATGCCGTATCGTTCAAAGAAGTTGACTAGCTGCGTTTTCACTTCTGCATTTATTGGATATGAGTTAACCCTGGACTCGTACAAATTGTAATATGTTTGTGCCATTTCGGCAATTTCTTCAATAGGTTTTGCTTCAATCTCGTTTTGAATTTTTGTTGTGAAAGACCTAACACATTTAAAGAAATCTTTGGTCAAGTGTTCATCCAACGCTCCGTAATCTTTAAAAAACTCTGCCGCTAGTTTCTCTGCATCTGGATTGGACTGTCTAATACTCACATACTTTTCAGGCTTTCCAGAGTCTAGAATATAAAAGAAATGTAGCACCAAATCTGATCAATTCAAACATATAAAATCATTTTAAAACAATTGTGTGTAAACATACCGCACCAATGCAAATAACCACAAATAGCGAAATAAGTTACCTTTGGTACTAGAAGCTTTCCGAAAAACTGGTAAGCTTTTCAAATACTTTGTTTTCTTGTCAGTCTGTTGACGTTTTTTCTCTTCAAATTTACTGAAACCTGACACATGGCCCTTGTACGGTTCATCTCGAGATTTCTGTTGTCTCTCCCTCTCCATCTGATTTCGGTAACATTTTGAGCAATAACCTAAGTTGAAAAATTTTATAAGATTATAACTTAAGAAGTATATTCGGTGCTGCAGCTGCAAATTTTGATAATTATTAATAAAGAATATCTCATTTTTCTTAACATAGGAATTATAATACAGTTACTAGACAAATGTTATTTTACTTTTGGTAATACCTGAGCAGATGGACAAGGCATTGATTGGTACACCCATTACACTATAATTTACTAAATACAAAATATTGAATTTTTTATGTTAAGTAAAAAGCTACCTATAAAATAGTTATATTCTAAATAATGAGAACATATTTTATTTGGCATTGGTTTAGTATTAATGTATAATACAATTGTGTAAATATTAATAGAGTATTTCAAGCATAGTATAAAACTAAAGATAGAACCGATTAATGAAAACAAATTTATAGCACACTGATGTGTAAATACTGTTTTATTTCTCGAATAAATTTCGTTACTAGTTTAAGAAGTAAGTGTTAGAAAACTTTTAAGTTCTAATTATCTTATCTATTAAGTGAACCATGCGAATTTCATTTGATTTTTTTAGTTATGAAGGTTTCCCAGATAAGTGCTCGTATCAACATAATTTAGTCGTAAAATAATTTAAGCCAAATTAAGTCTAGCGGAAACAGAAACTGTTTTCAAAGCCATCATTTTGGAATATTCTACAAATACCATGTCACTTTTGAGTCGTAAACCACGTTAAAATAAATTTAAAAAAAAAAACACTTCCTTGATATATTATGACAAAAGGAAGGTCAACGTTTGAATTAATTGAACTAAAAAGTAAAATTATTAAAACTTCCAACGCAACAACTGCACAATAAACTATCATTCGTGCTCTGCAACTCCATTAATGTTGTCATAATTAAAAAGGTCCTTAGTATCACAATCTAAAATTTTTAAGTAGCTATAAAGGAAATCAGGATACGTATTGATCATTACTCTTTAACCGCTATAGTCAATTTCACTATTTTAAAGGAAGACAAGTTTTTAGATTGTATTTTTTAGCATAATAATAGTATATTTCGAAGCACGAGTTTTGTTTTGGCAAGAGAGGAACGAGTGTTTAATAAACGAGTTACTTAAAAAGTTTAGCAAACGTGTTGTATACTATAATTTTCTAGCACCATTAGTTGTTGGGTATATTTTTACAAAACAACAACAATATATTCACTGACTGACAGAAGTGACTGACGGGGTCGCATTTGTAAGTAACGAAACTGACGTTGGTATTTTAGAGAAAGGGTCTGTTGGTCTCTGTTTTGCAAAAATGTGTCCAAAAACCAATAGGCATAGAAAAAGTATGGCATGCAATATCTTTATAAACTTCTTTAGACACTCGCTAAAGTGATGCCCAAACAAGCTAGTGACTAAAGTGCCGTTTATAAAACTTGTGTAATATATCAATTAAACCACTTCTACTTTAAGTTTTGCATATACATATATATATATTAAATTAGATGACATTTTCTTAATATGTCAAAGTCTATGCAAATGCAAAAAAAAGATGATTATTAACATATTGTGAGTGACGTTAGATGATATTTTACTCGGTACTAATTCGTTGATACTTTCGAAGCTTTCAGCAATTTTACACTTCAAATAAAAAATGTTATTCTTATTAAACATATCTATTTTTTGAATTATTCAGGTACAAGCAAGTCATATAGAATTAAAATGTATCGATTTCTAATTGAAATCCTTAAATTTACCACTCTGTTTAATTAAAACTATACAATTTAAGAAAAATCTGCAAAAACATAACGATATCAGATAAATATTGAGCCCTCATACGCCGAAATCCTTGTCCAAATATGTTTTCCAATTTGCGGATATGTACGTTTGAAAACAGGCCACAATTTTTAACACGTTCTGAGAGTCCATCAGCAGTTTGCTTATTTTTCAAATGATTCTATTCTATGTACAACTATAGACCACGAGCTCATATTTACTTTGAAGATGGCTGGAAGTGAACCTTCCTTTCCTTCAAAAGTCTTGGTAGTTGTCCTCCAATTTCTATGTGTGGGGGGCTAGTTGATTGTTAATTTTTTATTTCTAGTGCGAAAATATAATAGCAATTATACAACTTTTATTTAGTCTTATGAAATCACCGTCCCTCGTGGTTGAAATGGCACTCCAAATTTAAATTAACTTAACGATGAGAGGTTTGTTTATACTAAAAAATGATAAGCTAACAGCATATCCTTGTCTGAACAACACATAAGCTGAAGTATTTATTTTTTAATTAAAAAAAAAAACAAAAACCACATTAAGTGTTGTAAGTAAATTTTATATACGTCCCGTTAAGCAATGGCCGTCAACTTTTTTGTCAGAATAGAAACATATACTTCATCATTTATGGGAGTATCTGATATCATGGTGTAACATATGGCGTTTTGCTAGAGTCTTCCCGAGATGTCAAGTGTGCTTGGGTGATTATTTTAATTATTTTGGTTGTCTACTTTTATACATTTTATAACCTGCAGCTTGCAAAACTGATATTGAAATTTTACTCTTCAACTACAAACAAAATCGAGCCTTCTATAGTTCTCAAAGCTGAATAGCCTTGTTCTGAAGCCATTTCATAGTTTTTGAATTTTTGAAATTTATAACAGTTAAGACACTACAGCAATGGGGGTGTATACCGAAATTTAATTTTATTAACCAATTACCCAATAAATGAAATTAACAAATGCTAAATTTATCCGAAGCGTCAAAATACATACCATCCCAATCCGCGTTGCCATAAAACCCGCATCCAGCTTTGCATTCGAGATCTGCCTGATTTATTCTTAATGAGGGTTGCTTGGTGGCGTACATCATGTACTTGTACGAACGCTGTAAAGGTATGATGGGCATGTTAATCGAAAAACGACTAAAAGTGAATTTAACTGAGAAGATCCGGTTGACTATATTATATAGATGAAACTTATTTGTTAGTGGAAAGCAAAAAAGCATATTTCCTGATTTCGCCCATTACGGATCAAGGCAGCGATCGCACAAATAAACCCGCAGTTCTTTTACACACTTTGAAAGCACGTGTAATTGTGGTAACTTGTCGAATCCGCAAGAGTTTGGTAAATCGACTGGCGAGTTTGCACAGAAGATGATATGGAATGCATTTAGATCCGCCATTTACACTATAATTTAACCGATACCGACAATCTTTCGACTAATAGAGCAGCAGCGCAAATTTCAAATCAATTAGTTACACGCGCGAGACAATTCGGCGACGATAGATACTTTTGAACTCACTCCAAATAAATCAGGATCAGTTGGTTTTATATTTTACTGCCGCTGATAAGTTTGTTTCGAGTAAATAGAAACGCATTAAGGCATAAAAGATACAGCACAATGAAAATTTTCTTACGATTAATTTGTAGGTTTGGCAAAAAATGAAAAAGGAAAATATTTTTTAAATATCACTTCTACAATAACCGCTAACTTTTAAAGGTTTATCAAAAAAAAGCGCCACGTTTATCTGTCTGCCAAATATTGTCTAGAGCTTTCGGCGAGTATTAACGCATGTTATCTTACCAAGATAAAAATATACAATTAAAATGGTTTTCGAAAAAAAATGACCTAGTTTTTTATCTGCTTTGAATGTAGAAAATTTCAGCGGTGCACAACTGAAATAACAATTGTGTAATGTATAGCAGAAGTTTTTAAAATAATAATGAAAAATGAACGTAATTATATACAAAATTATTTATGCATGAACATATTGCCCCACATCGCCCTAGGTAATCTACCAATTAGAAACACAAAAATATATATAATATTCAGTTACTTTTTTTTTATGAATACCCATTTTTTTGAAATAAACTATTCCCTGTTTTCATTTGGACATAACTTTAGAAGTTAATGCACAAAGAGGAAATAGGGTTGATATTGCTATCAATAATAACCAAATTTATTAAGAAGTCTGTCAAATAACAACCAGACGGCCAGTAAATACTACTATCACCATAACAAAATTAGTATCTTATTAATTCAAAATATTTTATCAGCGCGGCAATTATCATAAAGACTAAAGTGCCCAGTTCATTTAAACTTAATGGCAAAGTCTTTCAAGACATGGTCGTAAATATTTAACCAGGATTAGTTATTTTTCCAACTGTAAATAGATGGATATCACAAGTAAATAAGTGGGTCAAAATCAATTTTATTATTAGTAGCAACTAGGGCCGCAAAAAAGTTTCTGCTTGAGAATCAACCTCACCTTCTGTTTCGATGCCAATAGGAATGATTTCAAGCAAATATTAAACTCTAGGAAAAATGATAAACATAACTATACAGATACAAAACGAAAGCTCATCCAGAAAAAGTTGGCTTTTTGCATAATTATATTGCTTCAAATTTTAAATTCCGCTAACAGCTAACAGACAGAAAATATTTTCACAGGTCAAAACCAGAGCCCATTTTGCTTTGTTAATCATTTTAAAAATGCTTATCTATTATTTAATACCAAAACTAATAGATTTCATCAGTATGTTGTCTTATTGCGAAACATATCTAAATTTCACTAAGAAAAAGTTAACTTGTACAATCTCTGATGAGTTCATCATTCCAAATAAACCTTTTATGTACTAACATTGATAACATGCTTTGAGTCTACTGTTCACCAATCAGAGATGTAGATTTCCTTTAATATCCTTGACCACAACATACCTAAAATGCTTTGAGGTTATGTAAAATAGAACTCCCAACAGATGTTTTTGAGCTAGATTCTGATAACAGTCTGACAGTGTTTCATGTATGGTTTGTACCTGTTTAAATTGCTGTGGTTTACTGTCTTTTGCACTATTTATCAAGGTCTAAACTCCAAAAATATCTGGGGAACGGCTGAAACATCCCGTAGCAAAATTTTATTCCGTAGGTATTGAAAATTAATTTATCACATTGGCGACAAGGTGAAAAATGTCAACTAAATATATTTTTTAAATTGCAGCATATTAATCAATTCAACCCATCCAATAAAAAATAATCAACTTACCAACTTTTATTAACAAACAGGATACTTTTATTTAAATTTTCATGATCATTTTAATGTTTTTGACATCTTGCTCTAATAACTGAGGTTATGTTCGCCCACGGAACATGTTTTCCTTTTTTTTGTTTTACCTTAGTCGGGTAATCTTATTCGAGAGACATTTGCCCAATACAAACTCCGACGCAGCCACTGATGATATTTTGATGTTTGTCAGCTCTAATTATCACGTCGTACGTCATTCTATGAATCCTTGCTGTCTTGCAAAAAGGAACCCAAAAACTAAGGGCGTAGAAAAATTATAGTATGGAACACAGTAATCAACTTCTTCATGATTACATATTTTTCACTTAGAAATTTTCCCATTGGAAAAATTACTTTACTGGAAACAGCAGCAATGTCTTGTTTATTATTAGTTAAGCAAATCCGTCTTAATATATATTAAAACGTCGCTAGGCCACTGGCGCACGAAAAAATAATAATTACAATAATAAAACAGTTGCAAAAAAATTTTTTTGATTGTCATTCCATAAATCTTTACGCACTTCCCAGGGTCCGCTGATCCGGACACAGGGGAGAATATTGAAGCCGGGGGTCGTCTTGGAGGCGACTACGCCACGGCAAGGAGGGTGGTTACCCATAGTAGGCTGAGGTGGGCTATTGACAGCTTTGGCCCCTTCAAGTCGGCGGGCGGGGATGGAGTTTTTCCGGCTCTGCTGCAAAGGGACGGAGGTCTCCTGACCAGCCCGCTGATGGACCTGTTCAGGGCCTCCATTGCGAGGGGGTACGTGCCCGAGCTGTGGAGACACAGCAGGGTAGTGTTCATTCCCAAGGTAGGGAAGAGTGACTACACAGACCCGAAGTCGTACCGGCCTGTTTGCCTCACCAGCTTCATTATGAAGACTCTGGAGAGGCTGGTGGACCGGTATCTGAGGGACTGGGTGGAGCTGGAGGCCCCTTTAGAGCCAGCTCAGCATGCGTACCGAAGTGGCGGGTCTGTGGGCTCAGCTCTTCACCATCTGACTTCCAGGTTGGAGGAGGGTATGGGCTCGGGACGGCTGTCGGTGTGCGTGTTCGCTGACATCGAAGGGGCTTTCAATAACACGGCCCTGTACTCGATCTGCAGGGCGGTGGAGAGTACTGGAGTGGGGACGGCCATTGTAAGGTGGATCCGCTCCATGCTAACCGACAGGAGGGTCGAGGCAAGACTGGGTGGGGAGCAGGTCTCCATCGGTTCATCACGGGGTTGTCCACAGGGCGGGGTCTTGTCCCCGTTCCTGTGGTGCCTGGTGGTGAACGAGATATTGCATATTCTGAGGGAAGAACACGGGGTCTATGCTCAGGTATATGCAGACGACCTTGTGATAATGACGCAGGGGACGGACGTGAGGAGGATGCAGGGGCTCCTGAACGGGGCATTGGCAAGATTCTCACAATGGTGCCTGGACAGCAAGTTGGCTGTCAATCCTAGCAAGGTGGAGATGGTAATCTTCACTAGGAAAAGGAAGATGGAGTGCAACCTCAACATTTCGATGGATGGGGTGCCTCTTTCTGCAAGCGGAAGTGTCAAGTACTTGGGCGTATGGTTGGACTCTAAGTTGACCTTCCAGGAACATATAAGATCAAGGACCAGGTCGGCCTTTGGAGCTCTGTGGGCGTGCCGGAGAGCGGTAGGGGGCACTTGGGGCCTGGGGCCGAAGATCATGCAGTGGATCTACGGTACCATGGTGGTGCCTATGCTCACGCATGGGGCAGTGGCATGGTGGCCGGGGACCAAAAGAGCGGGAGCAAGGCTAGTTCTTGACAGACTGCAGAGATTGGCTTGCCTCTGCATAACGGGCGCCATGAGAACGGCGCCCACGAGGGCCCTGGAGGCTCTGGTGGGGCTGCCCTCTCTGGCGGATCGGGTGCAGATTTAGGCGGCCAGGACAGCTGTGAGGCTGGCGAGCTGCGGGCTCTGGAGGGAGGGAACCCTCAATCGGGGTCCGTACGACATTTTAGAGGGCTGTCGCGGGGATCGCGGGGTCATGGGCATGCCGAGTGACGTCATGATCCCCGAGATGACCTTCTTTGATAAATTGACCTTTCTCTTTCCATCAAGGGAAGATTGGAGAGAGGGCAGAGTCGGCTCCTGGGATGGACTTGTCTGGTACACGGACGGGTCCAGAATGGGAGATCTGGCCGGAGCTGGAGCGTACTGCGAGACAACGGGATCAAGCTTGTCGGTCCCTCTGGGCCAGTACTGCACTGTGTTTCAGGCGGAAATTTTCGCTTTATTGATGGCGGCCAGAGAGGTGCTTCGGCTCAACTACGGAAGCAGGAGAGTCTTCTTCTGCTCGGATAGTAGGGCTGCACTCATGGCGCTGAAGTCAGTGCGTACGCGCTCCTTGTTGATAAAGGAGTGCAAAGGGGTACTGAGGAGGGTGGCTGAGGAGAGAAAGGTCACGGTCTGGGTTCCGGGTCACACCGGTGTCCGGGGCAATGAGGCAGCGGACGCCTTAGCCAGGGAGGGCTCCTCGCATAGGCATATAGGGCCAGAGCCCCGCTTGGGGATCGCCCCGTGTGTGAGGCGGGGAGCTCTCGAAGCCTGGGCGAGAGACCGGGCCGCGGGGGGCTGGAGAGTTGCTCCGGGAATGAGGCAGGCGAGGCTTATGATGGATGGGCCCGCCCTTCCTCGGACCAGGGAGCTGCTTAGACTGACCAGGAGGGAGTGTAGAGCACTAACAGGGGCCTACACAGGACATTGCAGGCTTAGGAGGCATCTCTGCTTGCTAGGCATTGGAGACGACCCGGAGTGTAGGTGGTGACCTTCTACAGGAGGGGCGGCATTCTGGACGCCCTCTAGAGCGGCCTGGGGGCACAACGGGCCCATCTGGTGGCCTAAGTGCTTGGACGCCCGCGAGGGCGCCCCCCTTTAATACCAATACCAATACCATAAATCTTTTTTCTGCCACAGAGTCTACGGCCCATAGGGTGTGTAATTGGGAGACGTTGAAGATTTTAATAATTAAAATTTTAAAGCTCGATTTAAACTCCAATTGGACGGAGAAGCAAGGAGGGAACCCAGACAGAATAAGGCCGATCACAATGCTTATATTTTGAACACACATTAATGCTAAATTAAAGTATTTCAGAGAATCTCTGCGCTGGGCACGAACAATCACATCAACTTGTTAAATTTTGAACAAAACACAAACTTTTTCAGTTTTTTTTTCGATTGTTCTAGTTATCGAATCGAGTCGCTCGGTACCTGAATTATTTCTGGAACAACACTGTTAAAACTGTATGACATACCTACGTAAGATCTATTATATCTATTTAGAAATTTAAAAAACGATAATCAATAAAAAATAGTAAATGTTGATTAACAAATGAATGAACGTTTACAACAAAAAATCACGAAATACATTTTTGAGAAAATGTAAAAAGGTTTCCTAAGTACCTACTTACAAGATTTGTTTTGAATATGTAGGACCTTATATTTGTGTCTATTGGATAGTATGAAAGCCCTCAAATGGGGTTTGAGAAAGTTGGGAAATCTTCATAAAAAATAACCAAAGTTTTTCCATGTTAAAAAAGTATTTACTAGCACCCTTGTAGAGAATTTATTTTAACAAATACCATTAAATTATTTGGAATGATAAGTATTCCTGATAAATCAGTTAGCAGTTAATATTTTATTTATGAGGATTTTCAGTTCTGTGCTTTAATCCATCAACAACTAGACGAAATTAACATTTTTGCCTGAACAATCGGTTATCAGTTCGAAACAAAATTTGGGAAAACAGACTCAACTAGTTAGATTAATGTTTCCAAATTATGGTACTTTTATTTACGAAATTATTTTATAAGGTTAACAGTATTCAACATTAAATTAACAAAACTTTAATGAGAATTTATCAAGTCGATACACAAAATTTGTAATCTGTTATGGAGATGAATCATTAAAATTCTAAATTCTAAATAATATTCAAAAAACAAGTGTGGCAAGTATTTTTTTTTAATATTAGCTCAATAGTTACAATGTTTAGAGATGGACAGCAGCTTTTTACTGTAGGTTTTTGAATTGCTTCAAGGAAAAAATTACATTTGTCGTTCTGGCGTAATCAAAGAAATTTATTACTGAATTTTAGTCAATACATTTTAATAATTTTCTTAATTATATTTACTAACTAATATTAACACAGGACATTAGACTCAAACGGAATGTTTCAGATAGGGGGAATGTGTTATGCAGTGACAGTAACTGCAGCAACAATTTGTTGTTGTGGTTCTAATGAGATGTAATGATAGTTCGATTTTTCCATAGTTATAAACGCTTCCGATCGAAATACTGGAGGTGTAGTTTTGTCTTCTTTCATTTGAGTTGTCATCGTTTCTGACCAATAGTATGGTTGCAATTTATTCTGCAAAAGACGAAAATTAAATTAGTAGCGATTTGGACTGTCGGGAAATATACAGGTCGAATACACAGATTCCGAATGTTTCTACTAGCTATATGCTTAAAAAAAAATGTTAAGACATTCATATGACGGACGTTCAACCTATATTGTGTGGCATAGAAATTAGAACCCCCAGTGTGTGCTTAACTATTTATTAGAATGTTCTGTTGGTTGCTTGCTTGCTAAGAGTCATACTGTCCTTGGTATTGCTATTAACCAATAGGCATGGTCTGCTATCAAAAACAGGCTCACTGAACTCAGGAGTGGAATCGGCTCATCCGCCACTTTTTTGTTTGTGCCCTCGCGATGATTGTACAGGAGTTCGTTGAATATTAAATATTGAATCAGAATTGGCACATCCACCGGAATGATCAATATTTGATTCGCAGAGTGTTACGAGGAATTACTCACTGTTGAATATTTAAGAACTGATATTCATATTTATAACAACTACTGCCCTATATCCCTACTACTAGATTTATGTTGAATTCCAACATAAATTGAATTGAAATAAACCATTTTATGTAACTATTAAGCTCAGTAACGTCTGTTGGTTGTTAAGGAACGGTGCGATTGATAAGTTGTAGTTACTTGAACACATGACATTACAAAGGGATGTCAAATATGCGAAAGGATCAAGGTAGTGGCTGAAGGTGGGTGAAGACAAACACCTCATCAAAATTATCTCCAGATCTGTACATTAAGTGGGTGTGAGATTTGATGATTAATAACTGAATAATATTTGGATACGTAGAGTGTTCAAAAAGTAAGGAGGCTTTTGTAATTGCGCGGGCTACGTACATTGGATCTTCCATATTTTTGTTTGCTATTTTGGTACTAGTACTAACATATGTTCACAGTTTCAGCCAGTTTGCAAGTTTACTTCTGTTTGTGAGACAGAAGCGTTAGACGTGTTTTGTGTACTCGGTGATCTTCTGCTGTAAAAAAAAATTGAACTTTGCATAATTTTTTTTATAAAAAATGGAATACAGTGCTGCAAAACGCTTGAAATGTTGACAACCGCATATGGTGCATCTATTTTGAGCAAAAAAAAATGTTTATAAGTGGTACAAGCTGTTCCAAGATGGCAAAATGGTGTTGAACAATCACCGAATCACTATTAGAGAAGTGGCTTAAGATGTCGGCATCTCTATTGGCGCGTCCCATGCAATTTCTTCCGAATTTTTTGGCGTGAAACGTGTAGCAGCAAAATTTGTTCTGAAACTTCAGTCGTCCCAATGGAAGAACCTAGAAATGTCAAGGTTTTGTTACTGTTTTCTTTGATTATGGTGGCGTAGTACATCAAGAATTCTCACCACAAAGTTGTAAGGTCAATAAAAAGTATTACCTTGCAGTTATGCGCCCTTTGCAAGAAGCAATACGAAGAAAATGTCCGGGATTGTGGGAAAACCTGCTCACTCATCGTTGATTGTGTCTAACTATTTGGCCAAAAATAGGACCACAATCATGCCTTAGCCACTATATTCATCGGATATGGCCCCCTCCGACTTTTTACTGTTTCCAAAATTCAAGAAACCCATAAAAAGAAGGAAGTTGGGAACGATAGAGGGGATTAAGAAAAAATAAGTGTATTATATCTGGGGAGGATTACTTTGCAGGGGACAACATTAATTTTGATGAATAAATAAAATTTTTTTGATAAAACTTAAAAGTCACCTTACTTTTTGAACACACCTCGTATTGTGTTATGAAAAAAAATTATGCCATTACAGGGACATCCTCTATCTTAACGTAGCATTTAGCGAATGTTCCTGGTAAATCTGATTTCGTTGGGATGATGTTTAATGTTAATAAATTTTTACCTTAAAATGCACTTTTTCTTCGTATCTTCTTTTAGTTGAACCAACATATATCAGCAATGACTCTGTATACCACGTCGGAACAGTCTTCGTCTTGAAATAACATTTTGCTACGTATCTGAAATAGGCACGAAAAGAAAAATATTTATAGAAACTGGTAAAAATTTTAATGTTTAAGTATCAAATTTGCCATAATATATATTAAAATAATGAGAAAAAAAAACAACTTTCTGTTTTTCGTGAATGAAGCATTCGCGAATGGACAATTTGGAAAAAAAATCATAATAAAAGAAGTGAAGAGAAATGATTAATAATAACTTTCAAATTTTCAGGCTGGCCGATATAGTGGGTAAGGATTATTGTTATTATTATATTTATTATGTTATAACATTTTTTTTCTTCTATATATCCGCTCTTTCTTGCACATTTTTCCCGTAAAGTTGTGAACTTTTCGAAATTCATGAAATACATCCGTTGACAATTTCATAGGACACTCGCTAAATAGGCTAAAGTCATAGAAATCATTTGAGATTCCTGTTTTTCTTTTTTTATTAAAATCAGCCAACTTTCCTACACGAGCCCTAGTTTCCAAAATTCAAACCAGATAGCTCTACTAGAACTACCATGAGAGGGCATGCCTATGCCGAAAATACAAGAATTTATGAAACAACTATAAACAAAATTTTGAGAAGTTTCATTCAACCTGCGTATGAGCGAGATTTAAAATTTCGTGCTATGCAGTATTCAACAACCAACATGGCCTCTGACAGATCGTCAATAAGGGTGGATGCGATATTTTTAGGCCAGTATTTATAGGAAATAATTTGGTACAATGTGCAAGTTAATAAGCAAAACGCAGAGGCATGTGCGGAAAATCTTCGAATATATCAATGCCGCCTGCAGCGCATCAATTGTTACTGTAGTAATCGAATGAATAGACAGTTTGATCAAGATATCTAAATAAAAAATGTTAGCTATCCGTAACTTATATGTATGTATGACATGTACGATGTACGCGGTTTTCATGATGAAATGTAATAGCAATCTTGGATTTTCAAATACATACGATACAGTCAGATACGCATTTATACGCGGTTATTTATTTACAAAAAAAGGTAAAAACTCGTCTATAGAAACCAAACTTTCGCTTGTAGGCTTCTTCTGAGCTTCTCAAAAATATGCAACACAAAAGAGCTACTGGAAAAACAAGGCACAAGTATTTAATTTTATTACTAAACTAAATTTGCTTTTCTGTGTGTAATGTTAATGTAAGATCATTGTCAAATGATTTTAAAATAAAGAAGCTGACTCATAGAAAATATTATGTTTAGTACAGAATGTCTAAATTAAGCTTCTCTATATGGTTAACTCGAATACTACCAACGATAGAAAAAAAATTGATTAGAGTTGCATGTTTCACCTTGAATTTTTAATTTTTTATTTTTCATATATATTAAATAGAACGCAGTTCATTAAAACAGGTCTAGCAAAAAAAGTAAAAAGTCAAATTTTTCGAACGGAAACTGACTTTGTATATTTGTTCTGGAAATTTATAGTTTTCGAAAATTTGACAATTTAACATTTTTCAATTGCAATAATGATATAACATATATGGCGGTCAAGTTTTGCTATTAGTTGGCCATGCTACTGAAGCTTCTAAACAAATTAGGAACGAAATTCAATTTATAAATGAAAGTGGTACTGTCGGAAAACCAGTTAGCAACTTAGAACTAATATTTACAACCTGTATCGCCGAATATACGACTTTGTGTTTTGGAATTTTATTTGTTTATTTTTAAATCTATAATTCTGATTGTGTCATGCTCATGCCGGCTTAAAGAACGTTTCTTTCAAAAATTGTTTCATCGGGAATTCTTCATTTTGGATTTTTTCTCTGCGTTTCTCTTGTTCTTAAATACGATAATTTGTTGGTTTCATTATATAACATTTATCCACATCCAATCTTTCATTTTCTGAATACCTTCTGGGATTTAATGGGAAAAAATCGGACAAGTTAAATCAAATAATAAATCAATGTCAACCTGAAGTGTAAATAAATATTTTTTGTAAAGTTGAGTTTCTGTGCTTATAACATTTGCATATTATGTGCCATAATATAGCAATATTACAATGGGAAAATGTAAAATTGTTTTTCGTTTATTTATAATTTCATTTTTGAAATTGTTTTCGCTCATCGTGTAATAATTTACATCCAAAATATTCAATGTATGACAATAGTCACCCTTTCACAACGAATCCATCCACAATTATATAATTAGGAAAAATTGTTATTATTTTTGGACCTGCATTGGACATAAAATTCAAGTTTTGTTTAATATTTAACATTTTTTCAATACCACCCGCACAACCAATCTATGCGAAAGCTTAGTGTTACCACCTATTGTGTCTTCTTGTGTCCAGATCTGCAGCTTAGGATTCGCATTCAAAAAATTCAGAGTAGCAGTGGGCTTGCTTGCAATCATTAGATGGAAAAGCGTACGATTCCCCATTGCACCAAAACTTTCTTTAAAAAAGTTAAAAATACGGTTTATTATTATTATTACTATTATATATCTAGAATTTTACGGAGAATCGAAAGAATATAATAATACAAAGGGAAATATTTAAAATACGAAAACTGGTACTCACCCCAGAACAACAAAACACCCTGTATACATGAAAAATTAAAAACTGAAAAATCTGGATGAAACTGCGCAACTTTTCCATTGAACTTTTTTTTTCTATCTTCGTAGTTTTTGAGTTAATGGGACAGAGAACCTTATTTCGGACACCCTATACATAATACAAAATTCATAAATGTTTCTTTAGCTAATAAAAAATCTTCTAAATAACGATCAAAGCTCAACTTTAGTACATTTAAAAAATATTTTATTACCTTTTGGGGAAACTGCCGCCGTAATCTGTCTTCGAAATTGAAACGTGATTTTCCTGTTGCTGAATCTTGCTGCGAAAAAGTGTCATGAGCAAGTGACAAAGTGTATTAGTGATCTTAACCTACACCCTCATATTTCTGTTAATTTTTTGCACATAAAACGAGTTTGTTTTCGGACACCGCTTCACGACTGCCGGCGCAAATTTACAACGTCTTTCGATTCTGTATTTTATTACCGTCATATTCTATTTGCTCGAACAAATTGAGACGCAAAATTGACGACAGCATTAACAAGTTGAGTTTTTGTATTTTTTTTTTATAACGATGTTTGAATATGGGTATATAAAAGGAACAGTATGTAGGTTGTCAAATTTTACACGTAGAAATCAAATCTTTGGATTAGTTGTGCAGTATATTGGAATTTTGACGAGTTAATTACTTTGACATGGTCATTACCGAATAATATCAATAAATTTAACCTGAGGCATCAACAACTAGAATTTTCTAGACAAAAATATAAATCTATATAGCTTTTCCGTTTTATTTTTAACGATTGTGAATACAACAATTAAAAATGTGTGAGTTTTCACTCCATCCATCGAATGAAAGTGTGACAGATTCTACATTTTTTACCATAAAGTGAGCTAGTCAAAATGAAATAAGGACCACTTTTGTAATTACTTTGTATTTTTCCAAAAAGTAAAATTTTTCTTCTTAAACCTTCGGCATTCTAACAAAACATTAAATTTAAAATAAAGTAAAAATTTAATTTTTGAACAAACTAAAGAATAATTGCAACAAACCAAAAAAGTGAATTTCGAGAGTTAAAGAATTTTATATATTTTATGTATTCCTTCAAAAAGATTAATTGCTTTAGCTCGTACGACCTCTGCAGACCGACGACGGGGCATAGATTCAACTAAATTGCTAATTGTCTTCCTCCTGATGTTACATCACTCTCCCCAAGTTACTCTAAATTTTGGTGGGATTGGCGATTCTTAATCATGTTTTTAAGATAATGCCAGAAGGTCTGGAGCGGTTGCTGGCCACTCCATAACCTCAATATTTTGAGGGTGGAGGAATTTGGTTTCTATCCTGGCACTCTGATGTCGGCCATTATCATGTTGTATAAATTGTGAGCCTTCTTCATGTAGTTCCCACGAAACACATGTAAGTTGGGCCACTTCCAAATTGAACACTTTCTCTAACGATTTCGTTCACCCCTTCGTCTTCAAGTTTCGTAAAATAAAAATGGTAAAGAAAGTAAAATTTATGTCCCCAACGATCCATAGTCCAACTTTAACTGTGATCTATAACAGCTTTATTTCTGGACCGCATACCAGCTGCTTGGAGTTTGTTCCGTACTGTTTGTGTGGATATTCCCCTCCTTGTGGCATTAAAATGAAGATCTACAATGTTTCACGCCGTTCATGCTGTATCTTCAAAGCCATATATTCAACAAATCACGTGCTGTTGTCGCCCTGTCTCTTGGAGGAAAAGATCTTTTTGTACCTATGCCAATCTCTGGATATCTGCTTATAAGCCTACACATTACTGAATGATTGGTTTGAAGTCTTAGAGCGATATTTATAATGGAAAAACTTTCTATTTCAAGTAAATGTCTTCTTTGTTCAACAGGTGTTCCGAATGCATCGATGTTCATGATAATTTGCTTTTTTTAAAGAACAATCAAATTATTAATCTCATCTTTGAAAAACAAGTTTTTGTACACACATTTTGTGCATATTTATTGTAAATGGCAACAAAAATTATACCAAGGTTACTAAAAAAAATATAAATAATAAAATAAAATAAAAAATATAAATATAAATGAAAATGAGTGTTTTTCATAGTGTTCGTTATTTTGTTTTGACTAGTTTATTTCAAGACTGTGGTCACCTATAAAGTCTCGTAGTTGTTGACATATTTTCAGGTTAATGAATATTCTTGCAGCTGATGAAGGGTACATTTCTGTAAATATTTTGCCTTTCTATGTTTTTTATAATACCAACCCAGTAAAACTGACGTCTTTTTTTGCAGTTGCTTGCCTTCTTGTATAGTTATGAAATTCTGATTAGCTGAACGTAAAAGCTCAAACATGTTATTTGTCAAATAAAAGTTCTTTTTCGAAAGAAGTTTATTTGCTAGTGCACACAAAGTTTGTCAAAACTGGCGAAGCTACAATTTTATAAATTCACACAAGTTTGGATGTTATTGGGGTTATTTCAACATAAATACGTCTTTGCTGGTATACCTCGATAGCCTTTTGTGAAATTAAAAAGATAAAACTGACTGTGTTTTTTAGCCATGATTGTTTTTTTTCTTCCGATGCCTCGTTTTATTTCTATCTTTCCTTTCATTATAAGTTTTAAGAACTGGTACTTGGAATTTCAAAATATGATCCAGATAGGTAGTTTTCTTCTTTTTATTATAGGCGACAATTCTCTTTCTCTGCCCATTCGATTTAATACTTCAATATTTATTGTGTGATCTGTCCAGGGAATTGAATTGAGTAGTCTTTTAAATAACCACATTTCAAAGGCATCCAATCGATTCATCACGTTGGCCCTTATGGTCCAGGTTTCTACACCATATAGCAGTATTACATCAAATGCTATTTGCCATTAGGCAAGTAAAGAAAAGTTTCATTTACAATTTTTCACATGATCAGGTGGACCGGTCAATAGTATTTATGATGTCACAGCCTCTTAGACACAATTTTCAAATTTAATTAAAAATTTAAAAAAACAAAAAAAAAACAGAAAAACCATCCTATCCTACGTAGAATCCTGAATCCAAAAATGCATTTAAAATTCGAAATTGACTACATATTGTCAAAAAATTGGACATTCGGCCTATATTAACCCTTCCAAATTTCTAATTGCTATCTCAAGCCGTTTAAATGTTATAAAGTGTTCCACTTTCTTGTGTCACCCGATATATCACCCTTACAAATTTAAACTTGGTCAGCACTTACGTCCCATGGGAATAATGACTGTATTGTAGTTTCTGACAATTGGCAAAGAGAAAGATATGTTATGGTTAGTGGTAATGATACCAGGAAAATTAACACCCAATATTTTCTAGGTTTGATCTAAATATGTCTTGCCTCCATATTAAGTGGGCAAATATATATTTCTACTCCCGTCTGCAAAATACCTAATTATCAACCGATCTAGCGTGCGGGAAGCGTCGCTTTACCACGTCAGTTTGGTTTCTCACGAATCCGAGCCACTTCGGACATTTCCGGGATTTTACCGCACGGGTTTGGGAGCAATCGGATGTTTTCGGAGATATTTCCCACGCTTTGAATTTTGACGTTTGTCAATTCAGACAGTCATGTCAGTGAATATATTCGTGTTTTGCGAAAATGTACCCAAAAATTAACGGTCGTACAAAAAATTTTGTATGCAACACGTTCGGTAAAATTTTTAACTCACTCGTATATTAAACACTCGCTCCGCTCGTGTCAAATAAATTCGTGAGTCAAATTGCGTTTAGCGCACTTGTTGCATGACATACTTGTTGCATAATATACTCTTTTTCTACATTTGAAAAAGAAATTGAAACCTGAATCCCTACTTAGAAATTTGAAAGTTACAGAAGATTAACATGTAGATGATAATTAGGAAAATACCCCATAGTAGGCAAATTAAATACGTCCCCAAAATGAAAAGGAAAAGTCATTTCAACTACCACTAAATGCATTCGAGCTTTTTTTTTTTTGGGCACCCAGTAGATATAGGACGACACCGGTTACCTTCATTACAAAATCTTGTTACAGTAATAAAGTTATATTCTCTATAAACAATAAATAAGTAAATTAAATTAAATTGTTACTGATGGAACGACCGCGTGGCACTGTAACCAGAAGATAAAAAACAGCTTCTTAGATTTTAATTAAGTACGACCTTTGTTGGTTCCTTATTTATATTATTGTTACAGTAAAGTTATAACCCTTTCTACACATAAAGTGAAAATATTACAATAAATAAATATTCTTTGTTGTGGAATTTAGTCAAAACTTCAGTGATTGTGACGGAGATTGTTGAGTTAACGCTAAAGAGAATAATAGTCCCCCGGTTAATTCAAGTTAAGGCGAAGGCGCAAGATTATAAATTTCTGGCAGGTTTCTTACCTTGACGGGGGTTCTGCAGAGTTTGACACAATCTGACCATTTTTGATAACATCTTCTGAAAAGAACAATACAATTTTGGATTAATTTATCTTAGTTGGCCGTAAATTTAAAAGAATCTTGAGGTAAAAACCCTAATCTACTTTTGATTTTATTTGCTTTTGATAAACAGACGAAATACAAAAAAATAATTTTCCCTCCGTGCTCTATAAAACCGATAGAAATATGTTGGCGCCTTTTCATACAATATATAAAGTAACGTAAATTGTATTTAACATAGTAAGTTTTCAGCGAATATATTATTGAGGAAGCAATAACCCATTCCACATTTTGATAAGATAACATTACGCATTGCTATATTTAGATTGACTTTAAAACATATATGTGGCTAAATTGGAGAATAGTTTGTTATTTTATTATCATTATTAGATGACTTAATAAAAAATATCAATTTACCAGCGCACAAAATCTTGGACCCCAATTTAACATATATAATAATAATAATAATAATAAAATTAAATCGCAATTTTTGTTTCCCTACTCCACTAAAATGCAATGATTTAATCTTACCAGTACTTTTTCGAACTTTTCTCTTAAAAATATTGCTGAAGGTTTTCTTCATCTTCAACGCACAATGTTTTTAGAAGCTCTTTTAATCGTGTGAGTAATTATATATTTTTTTAATCGATAGCTATAATCAGACATTTTTAAGTGTTTTCAAATCCTGATGTATTTAAAGGATGTATAATTATTCATTCTCACACATTATACCGGGTACTTAAAAAAGATACATAAGATATGTCCAACGGGGTGACTCCTTGGGCCATTTTAAGACTAAAATTACTATTAACTATTGCGCGGTAAAGTTTATTAAGGAAGATAGTAGATGTTAAAATTACATCATTTTTTACTTTTTTTTTATATCGCGCCTCTGTGAGTGAAATCTTTTCTTGATAAATGCAAAAGTGTAACAATATAATCCGTTGGCGCAGCTCACTGGCGACACAAAAATCTTTTGGAGGTGTATCTCTGTATCAGATCTCCGAAAATGCATGACCCTCTAGATATGGAATGTCCCTAAAATTCTTCAAATTTTGATCTTGTAGAGAGAACTGAAGGTTCCAAATTTCAAACCGAAATTTGCAACAATAATAAAATTCTAAGCGAAGTACAACTTTTTATGGATATGGATAATTTTTTTTTGTGAAAGTTTTATTTATTTTCTGCCCAATATCTGACATTACACTTGAGTATGAGTGAAAACAATATAATAGATAAATAATTATTGTTTGTAAATTGTGTGGTAATGGGAATAGGCATTATCTAAATACACGAAGATGGAAATGTGATCAAAATCTTAAAAAAGCTGTACATTATTTAGCATTTTTCTTTTCTTAAACTTCTTTAACAATGCAAAAAACGTGTCTTAGTTACTGAGCGATGGCTCTGTTGCGGAAAATGAATAAGAGTATATTATAAGATATTTTATTTAATAGATATAGTCAATTAAAGTACTTACTTGATTGGTTTTCGCTTAATTGTCGTTCTTTCTGCTTGCCCATGATTTGCCAGGAAAATATTTTGTAAAACGACTTGTCTATTCTACCAACGTTTTGTTGGTGTTCCAGTTCAGTATTCGTCTTTTCCGTTAATATGAAATTATAGCTATACGCTTTCATGTAATCAAATTTACTTAGTATTTCATTTTTGGACTTCATGATTTTTCCAATTTGTTTGTTGTCGGAATAACCAGAATGTGTTGTTTGTTGTTACAAACTCGCGGAGATTCCTCTCGCGTGCGATCAGACTAAACCATTGCCGGCAAAATATACAGTCTGTCAGCAGGTTCCAGGATTCGGTTACGTCATATATTAGCTTAGTCATTAGTTTTTACGGCGCGGTGGTTCACTGCCAATGGTCTTTGCTACTGATCTACACAAATTTTATCTTACTTCGTGCCTGGTCGATCGATATCACTGTGAATTGTATTCCTCCTTTGCTTTGTTTTCCCGAATATACTGTTCAAACGGAAATGGATAATAATAATAATTATTATTATTATCCATTAAACAAGTACGAGCTGCTAACAAAGAATACAAACTCATCTGGAATATGAGCATCCGCACAGATCGCACAGTCCCAAATAACTAACCTGATATTTTGGTACATGATAAAGAGAATAGAACGCTTACCGTTATCGACATAACCATTACAGTAAATGAAAACATCCAGAATGCCTACACTGGAAACGTGAGAAAGTACCAGCATACAATCTTGTTGACAGTCGCCCTGAATAAATGTTCAGTCGTCATTCCTGTCCACTGATATTTTTCAGCCACGATGTTCGTCCTCGCCCCTGACCACTTCGCCCTGCAAGATTAGTTGGGTAAATTGATATTTGTCATTACTCTTCACATCCCCAAGGTACCCCTCACTTTTACATAGACTTCGAGTTGCTTTTGCATTCGCTGGATCACGGTGTTGTTTGTGACATGGTGGGAGTATGATATCCTCAGTATGCGGGCACCACATTTTAAAGGCCTCAAAGCACTTAGATGTAGCATCTGCCAACGTCCAGGCTTCCACTCCGTACAGGAGCGTGGAGAATACATAACATCTTAGAACCCGTGTTCTTCCAGTAATATTCAGGACTATTCTGAGGCAGTTAAAAACGGTTCTGGCTTTTTCTATAAAGTATTTGAGCTCCCGTGTATAACTAACTATAAGAATTTTGGTCTTCTTGTAGTTGAGCCATACATATGAGTTGATACCATACATATCACATGCCTCCACTACATGATCTATCAAACTCTGCAATCTCTCAGCACTATCTGCTATAAGAACTGTATCGGCCGCATACCTTAAATTATTGATGGTCTCTCCATTGATATTAATGTCTTCCTCCGTTTCACTAAGTCCTTGTCTAAACAGTATTTCGAAGTAAGTATTGAACAGAATTGGTGATAGTATTCTTCCCTGAGGTACTCATATATTAAATTTAATTATTGGGAGGGTTCGTTGTCTATTTGCACTGTAATTATAATAATAATTTCGATGTCGATATCTCTTCGAACACCTAAGGGTGCTAGAACAGTCTTTAAAGGTAGTTTATGAGATGTAGCCATGCAGTTTGGCAATATCAACAAGCAGCTGGAAGTCGAAGAAATCTACAGATACCTCGGTGTCGAATAAAATCGCTTACAGGATACTGAAGGAATGAAAGTTAAGCTATGAAGCAGGCATAGGCAGTGTTTAAGTAAAATATGGTCCGAATGTGTTTGCTGTTCCTGAGTTACTTTATCCCTTTGTAGTGCTGCATCTTCAACGAAGTATTCACCATCGCTTATCAGTATCTTGTATTTATCTCACACGACACCTGGGCCGCGTGGCCTTGTGGGTCTGGAGTGCATGCATGAACGATTAGTCCTAGGCATAGCGTGTCGCGTGTGTTAATAATTATGACCAACTCTTTCAGCTAGCAACAGTTACTCTCAGTGAGTTCCGTGCTTGCTAAAACTAGCTATGTTGGCACAATAGACACAAGCACTTTATTTTCATTTAAGGCATTTCTCCAGTATTGACGAAATAGAAATTTTTTCATTAGTTTCAGAAGCTGTGGTTGAGACTAACGACTGTCATTTCTGTTGGAACTATGCATTCCCTACATACATAGGGTCCATGCTAATAAACCTGAAATCGTTCTTCTCGGTAAGGAAACTCTCTGCCATTGAATTTTCGGATTCAGCGGAGTGTAACATTGAAATTAAAATAAGTGAGAAGCAAATGAAGCACCTAGAATTAACTCCAGAATTTCGTAGGCTGTATTCAGAATGTACTGTGCAATTGGTTATCTTTATTGAAGGAGCCTTAGGAGGCACCAAGGATGAAGTGCTTGGCGAAATAAGTAAGATCCCAGCCTGATGAAGATGCAAAAGTCTGTTGTCCTTGAGTTCTTACATCTGTGGAGGAGTAAGGTGGCCATATTGAATTCTTTTACCAAATAACAATCATTATTGTCTAACAGATTAGCATCCATTCAAAAGACAATTTTATTCTCCAGTAAAATAGCAAAAGTACATGATATTCAAATACTCAATAACTCAACAAAAATAACCTCAAATCAGTAACCAAATTAAAACGTGACTTTTAGTGGTGACAAATGAAAACTTCATCCACCTTTATTTATATATTTTTATTCGCTATTAGCTACAATATGCACAAAATTAAACCTTAGTTTGTCGATCTGAATGGGGCGAAAAAGGTTGAGTGATCATCCAAGTAATACAAGTTTCTTTGGGAATACAAAACTTATTCTTGTTAAAGGCTGTCTATCAAACCGTAAAGTAACTTGTAGACAAGAAACTAAATTTGCAATAGCTCTTCTATCTTGATGGAATGTCTTTTTGTTATTTCTTAAATCACCGTGTGTCGATGTTTTTTTTTTGAGAGACATAATTTAAATATTTGTTTTGTTTATTTTCATTTCATTCGTTTCAATGAATGTTTGATATATTGTGGCTTCCAAACAGAAGAGCCACAGCAAATAAACAAGTTAGTAAACTTTATGAAGGCGAACAATTTTGACTCCCTGACCATTTAACCCACGCCACGCGTTAATTGTTTTATAATGGTTTTGATGTTTTCATTCATAAATCATTTTTAATTAAGTTGACACCTTTAGTGATGTGCTCATAAGTTTATTATCAAAAATTAGAGAGTTTGCGTTTCTAGCAATTGTTGTAGTTTTGCATTTTTCAATATTTAGAAATAAGCTTTCACTTTGACAGGAAGATAAAAAACTCTCAAGATCGTTTTGGACTCTGAAGCAGTCAGCTAAGCAGTAAATTATAAAGTAGCCTTTAAAATTATCTTCGAACACAAGCATTTCGCAGTTAATGAAGAAGTTTTTTATTTTGTTATTTATTTCACGCTCCTTTTATATTATTATTCTTGTTCTAGTCCACCGCTGGCGGAAAATGCCTATTCATCTTAAATATTTGGGAAGGTTGAAATTGATTTACATTTCAACGGTCGAATCTTCATGATTTAAACAAAAAATATAATGGTGGATTATTGAATCCGGACCGTTGATTGTGTATCAGGTAATTGTAATTGTACATGCAACTAATGAGAAATTAGATTGGAATTTCAAAAACTAAGGTAAGTTAAATTTTTGAAAACGATTTATCCTATTTAAATATCAAAGAAAAATTATGATTGTTTATGCGGATTTAATATGAAAGAATTTGTACTTTTGTGGCTCGAAAAATCCATATAAATTATCAGGAAATAGTGTAGGTATACAAATTTTCAAATTCCTTTGAAATTATTCGAAATTACACTGTTATTAGTTGAAATACCTCGTGAATTCCTTCGTACTCTGCACCACATTTTATTCTGCATCAAAAACAATATTTCATTGAAAAAAATCTAAATTTTATCTAAAATCTGACAAAAAAACATGTAAATTTATACTTATTCTACAAAATTTCGTGAGAAGTTTAAAAAAATTGTAAATTTTTGGTCATACATATACATACATACAGATGAGTTTATATATTTTTTTTACGAAAATGTGGGATAGATTTGCAACTTCGCTCAAATTTAAAATTTATTATAACTTTATTATAAATTTTATAAAAAAGGTGTCAATTTACAGATTTGTAGGGTGATTCCTAATATTAAAATCGAAAAAGACATGGTACCCAATAAGGATTGAAATTTCTAATAATTGGTGCAGTTTCCCATGGTTTGTTACATTTTTATTATAACCGAAAATAAGGGTCGTAAATACAAATTGCTTCGGGAATTCCAAATGTCTTCAAAAGTCTTTATTTAGAATAACTGGTCAATGATCAAAAACTGTTTCGCCGCATATAAAAAACGATTAATTTTTCATAATTATTATCTGTAGGCTGAGTAATGACTGCTCGTAATACTAGATTAAATTCCAGTCAGAGCAATTGTGTAGCATGACATCTTCATCTAGTTTATTGCTAGATGTCGTAAATTGACACAGGAATTTTGTTTGTCAGTTTTGAAATCCATCTAAAAATGGTAGCAATATAGGTAAGACATAGGAGAAGTATATCTTTAAAGTATATCTTTAAAGTAGATCTAAAGATTTTGTTTACTTATTACATATTTTCCGCGCCAAATAAAGATCAGTAATTTATGTGGGGGACTTTTTCCAAAAATTTGGAATAGCGTATGTTCGAATTTGCTGTAAAATTTGTTTTTTTTAAAAATAATATTGAAATAAATTAAATTTATATTTGTATTTTAAATACTGGCGAATGAGCCGGGTTCACTATAAAGAGAGTGCTTTGTCAGTGTGACTCGGTTTTGCAGTAGGTTTAAAAGTTGATTTGAATTCTGGTATTTTTTAAATAAGATTTCGGTTTTGATTATTTTGGCATAAAACTAAAAACAAAACTATCATAGTTTTTACATATCAATATTACAACAAATAAATAAATCAAAACTAACCAGAGCTAACCGAAAACTGAAATCTTAATAGTCAACGGTGAAATTTTCATCAATTAAAAATTCAATATCTCTATAATGACTTTCTTTATAAAATAAAAATGATAATTATGAAAATGTATAAAATATGATATTTCATAATAGCAGCGTATTTTATAGACACATGCCATAAAAACTATATTCCAAAAACCACCAACAGATTTAACAAGGTTAATCACGAAAAATAATTGTGCACGTTTCGCCCTCTACATATTTACACAAAATTTATATATAATGTGTTGTCCCCATTTAAACTCATTCAAAAGCTTTTGAAAGTTTTGTAGTTAAATAA